CTCGCTCCTCTTCCACTGGCTTCAGCCATCTACAGTAGAGCGGTCCTGTTAAATTCATTAGCCCAGGGATATTACTACACTGGCGAAGGCTGCTGCACCCATGACATCATTATGGGCAGCTGTCATTCCAGAGGGACGTCTGTGAGCTTTGTCTGAGAAAGAGAGAGCGAGAGCGGTCCGGCCGCACAGATGCAGACACATCCATTTACACCAGCATGCCATCATGAAGCAGGAAACACAGTGCTCCAGAGGAGGGGAAATGACCCGCTTCAAAATATCTATTTATGGAGAGTGTTTCATTTGTTTAGGCTACTAATGTCTCTGCTTACAAATACTGAAAAAAAAAAGGATCTGCTCAGTTTAGCGGAGAGAAAAAGCAATGTGAACTCATTGACTATTTTTGGCATATATGATAGTTTGGAAGGAGCACCCAGAAGTATAGCCACTGCCAGACAACAAAGCCGTGGCCTCGTCTTCCTGAAGAGCTACAACCACACAGACAGAAGCTTTTGATGTACCTTTATCTCACAACACGGGGCAAGCGGGGCAGAGAGAAGACCATTGTCTGATAAGGACACTAAAATATACAAGCATGTTGTTCTTTCTCACAAAGTAAAGGAAATCTGGAGCTACTGTGGAGTAGGCCGGGGTGGAGTTAGAGAGCTTGAAAACTTTTTTTTTTTTTTTTTTTTTTTCCTAGTCAGAAACACAACTGAAATGTTGAGTCTACTGCCTCTTGCACAGAAATCATCTGCTCTGCACGGCTGGACATAATAACAGGGACTGACGTTGTGTGTTTAAGGGCAAACAACTGCAGACTGCTCCAGTCTCTAGGCAGGGTGAATGTTGATATGAAATGATTTCCAGTCTTTCTTAAAGGGAAACGTGACGGCTACAAATCTTTTTTAGAATGGTTAACCCATCAGTCATGTGGAAAAACCTTACAGTCATCTAAACTTTCTCTTTACAAGAACCCACTTACTCAAGCAGTCAAGGAAAGAGACACAACTTGAGCTGTCATAATAGCGCTTACTGTACAGTGTAGTACAGTGTATAATTGTCATAATGGCTGAGAGTAAGCACAGCAGTCAACAAGCAGGCCTTGAATGGCCTCTTGCTGTGCGAGTCTCCTCATATGAGAGCTTTACTCTGTAGCTGCTGATAGCTCTGGCAAGCAAATAATGGCTTTATTCCAGAAACGCAGAGGGCCCACAATGTACTCAAGAATGAGACTATCTGAGAACTGCTGTGAGGACCTTGGCTCTCTACTGCTTTATACTGTAATTAAGGTCTTAAACAGCTGAAAATCAAGGCCGGGTGTGGTTGGATGTTGAAATGTGGAGCGAAGAGCACAAAATAAGTACCTGTGAGAAACCCTCATGCTACTGTTTGACAAAAAATAGAATAAATAAACAGACAAGTTGTCTATTCTCTACGTGAAAACTTATTTAATACAGAGTCAGAGTCTGGAGTGGAGCGCTCTCTGTTTTCTGTTTGCATGTGTGTGGAGCAGAACAGGGCTGGAAACACTATTCAAATACGCAACTCAAACAAAAGTCTTGTGAATAATATCACATGAGGGATATTCTACCATTTACATTCAGTCACTGTGCAGAGGGAACTTTGGCATCCTGTTGTAACCGTTTCATTGAAAATACATCCACTTGATATTATTGTTTCACTGCAGGCCAGTGGATTCCTGTGGCTTGTGACCCCCAATGAACCCAAAGAAGAACTTGTGACTTCTTACCACAGGTGACGGTCTCGGTTCAGACGAGGGCAGTTTGACCAAAAAGTGATTTTCAGATTTCTCTCTTTTAAAGGAATAGTTCGACTATATCTAACTTGGGACATACACTCGGTTGATTTCCTGCCAGGGGTTGATGAGAAGCTCGATACCACTCTCATATCTGTCTGTTAACAAAGTGTAAAAGCCTCAGCTGCTGACAATGACTCTGTGAAACCACAACTTACTGTTTCTGCTCTCTTCTGCGCGGATTAAACAAACAACATATAACACATTAGCTAGTGAGCTTTAGATCAACTGGTAGGCGGAGTATTTGGACATAGCCAAGCTAGCTGTTTCACCCTGTTTCTACTCTTTGTGCTAAGCTAACTGGCTGCTTGGTTGTAGCCTTACATTTACCCTACAAACACCAGAGTGGTATTGATCATCAGCAAGAAAGCTAATAAGAGCATTCCAATTCCAACAAGTCAAAAAGTCAATCTTTCAGAAGTCAAAAGCACACTTGTTGATACTTGTATGAACCTAATTTATTTCTAAGATCTTCAACAGGTAAATTTCAGATCCTTTCATATTCATTACATCTGATGAATGTCCAAGGACCAAGACATTGTGTGGGGACAATGTGGAGGATTATTTGGGTTCCTCCACAACAAGAGTTTTGATTCGACACACCTGTCCACTATGACATACTGGCGAACAAGAACTTTAATGTAATTCTTACTGACAGGAAAATAGATACATTTGGAGAAAAGTTCTTTGTTTTGTTTTTTTCCCCCTGTCCCCTTTAACCATCTTAGGGGATTAACAATTATTTTTCATTATTAGATCTGACAAATATGGGGCCGGCTGTGGCTCAGGAGGTAACTAATTAGAAGGTCAGTGGTTCGGCTCCTCTAGGCCGCATGTCGAAGTATCCTTGGGAAAGACACTGAACCCCCATGTTGCCACTGATGGCTATTCCATTAGTGTGTGCATATGTGTGTGATGTATGAATGTGTAAGTGAATGGGGGAATGTGGCAAGTATTGTAAAGTGCTTTGAGTGGTGCAAGTCCATTTACAATTATTTTCTTGGTAAATTGATCAATCGTTTGGTCAGAACACAGTCAAAAACGTCCATAAGTTTCTAAAGCCCAAGGTGGTGTCGTTAAAAGTTGTGTCTGGTCTGGCCAACAGCCCAAAACCTAAAAATATTACATTTACTATCAAAAAAGACAAAAATCATCACACTGGAATGGCTGGAACCAGATAAAATGTTTGGTATTTGTCATTAAAGTATGACTTGAAGGATTAATCACTTATGAAAATAGACGTCATTGCCAATTAAGAATCTGTTTATTAGTTAATTAGCTAATCATTTCTGCCAGCACCCACTCCCTCAGGTTGACATGAGCAATAACAGCCTGACACAGAAGTTATTGTAAGTTGAAGTCCACGTTGTTGTTTCCTAAAAAAAAGAGACAATTTGTAAAGTCCCCTTCTTGCGATGTGCCAATAAATGAAATGCCCCCTCGACGTAGGATGACAGAAGAGTCACTTGACTGTGTTGATAGATGGTAAAAGTGGGTGTCGACTGTGTGTTCATTATTACAAAGCGCTCAGACAGCTCAACTCCAGCCCGATGTGGAGGGAGGGAGGAAGGGAGAGAGGCAGGGGGGGAGGTGGGACTCTTCGGGTGTGGGAGTTTTGGGGGAATTCAGAAAATGTTGTTTTCAGATGGTTTGCCTGCGGCGAGAACATTTTCTAAATAAACCGAAACGCAGAATGCTGTGATGTGCTGTGCTGTGTCAAGGATGTACAGTGTAACGTCCTTTTCTTCTCTGCAGAACAAAAACCTTCACACCCCACCTCCACCTCCTCCACCTCCACCTCCACCACCACCACCACCACCACCCTCTCACGGCACAACCATGCTGTGCTCAGTGTTTGCCACTTCAGCCAAACGCTGAGTTGTCTGACTTTAGAGGAGACAAAAGAACCGCAGGAGAGGGGGGAACAGCAGGCAGGGAATGAGGGGCGGGACGGCACACATCGGTTCATTTAAAACATCAGCAGCTCATAATGGACGAGAAGTGTAAATACACACAGACTTTTCATCTAGAGACACAACAATAAAACTATAGCTACTTTTTTTTTTAATGACAGAAACAACACCGTCCACCATCGGGAATGTTTATGTTGGCACTATTTGGAATTTGAATGGAGAATATCAGTTTATGAGGCAGTTTCACAGATGGAGTCAAAACAACAGTGGTAGAAGAAATGAAATCACCATCCGCAGACGACTGTGTAATAATCCAACATATTTCAAAGTTGTAGACCAAACTGAGATGATTAAAACTTACCAAAACAATGGCAAATTTCTCCTCCAGCTCGGTGGGGTCAGGCATGGGCACCTTCAGAGGCATGATGTGATGCTTCATCTCCGACTGGCCGTCCACACTTTCTATATTCCCCATTTTCCCCCAGCAGCAGCAGCAGCAGCAGCACTGGATCCCCTTGTCAACCTCAAAACCTTGCAATCCCTCAGCTTCTTTCAGTGATGATAATCCAAGTTAAAAAAAAAAAAAAGAAAGAAAAAGTATTCCAACAATTTCATTAACGGATGAATCCAAATAATCCACTTCTCCACACCGAGATAAACAGCTGACAGTGCAGTAGTCTCGTGTTACTGTCCCAAAATGCCATTTACACGTACTCACGAGTTTAGGTTTACAGTGTTTTCCACTGTAGTTTCCCTTCAAAACGTATTCTCAAAAGTAATAAAAGTACAACTTTCTCTTCCGGAAAGTACTTTCTAATTTGCCTGGCCAATCCATTACTTACAAAAAATTTTCCCCCAGCGACAGAGACAACTTTCAAACGCCGAACAACTGTAACTTTTAGTTGCTCCTCAACTTTCTTGGCTACGACGTGTTTCCATTCATTATTGTTGTGTGATCCTGATTAAGTTTTTTGCTGTTGCCTCCACTCAGAGGGCAGGTTTTCCTCTCTGGCCCCGCCCCGAGCTTTAGGGGGGGGGTGGGCAGCGCTCACTGTTGGCTCAAACACCTGTCAGTCACTTCATCTTCGTTTTCCCCGCCCCTCACATCTGGAGGCAGCGGGCCCACATGTAGCTGCACAGAGAAGTGAGGGCTTGTCAGTGTTTTATCGCGACCTGGTGGCGAGATACGACCATGACATGTCATCTAAACAATTTTTTTATTTATTAGTTTTACACAAGAATGATGAAGCCACAAAACGGGTTTGATTCATGAGTGCAAACTTTAATCAAGAACTTCAGCAGCTACATGATGATATGTTCAAATTATTACAGCAGGTTTCTATTTTCTATCCATTACCACAAATCAGTGTCTCAGACCTCTGTGGTGAAGTGACAGTGGTGCTACGTGGAAGCTGTCTCAATATTTGCTTGATTTTAATAACTGCTTAGCTCGAAAAGCAAAATATAAACATGGCCGACAGCATCAGCCAGTTGCATTTAGCGCTACAAACACATACAAACACAAAGAAGCATGTGAGTGTAACACCAGCGATGTGTTTTCAGTATCTACAAAGTTTTCTCTTCATAAAAGCACAGTGATTTAGACTCTGCTTACAGTATCATACCTCTGTTTTCAGTGGTAATGTGAGGGTCTAGGTTTGTAATTCTTTGATTTACAAAAGTAACTTTCAGAAAGCTCTGTTTAAAACATATAAAACTTCATTTGGAACATAATTCATAAACACTGACAAACTGTGCACAGTTTTTGTAATACTTAAGGCAATGATATAAATGTATATAAACAAAGTAATCTCGGGAATTGTTTGAAGATTGTAAAAAATAAAATGTAAAAGAATCACTTTCAGTTGTGTAGGATGCTGTAAATCCATAAAACATTGTCATACCTCAGGATAGTAACCACAGCAAAAGCCCTTTTGTAAATAAAATTCACAGAGGACTTGTACATGCTTTTAAACATATATAAACTTGGTAGGTTGTGCAACATAGTTGCATTTTTATCAAATATCTATTCAGCCAAAATATTCTACTGAAGAATCTGTCCAAGACAGAGTAGAGTTAGCACAGTTAACACTTCATGGATGATAAGCTACATGTAAAGTGTCATAAATACTGGTGGACTGTGTTTGTCGTGAAGCATGTATGTCATCTTTTTTCCTTCAGTGATGGTGGAAATTTTCATTTAAGCTGAATATACAAACACAAATCACAGATCACAGAAGCAACACTTATTGTTATATAGTACCGAAGATCAAGCATAGATTCTTCTAGTTGGTCTCTGCTACCAAATCATACCTGGAAAACAGAAAGGATTCAATTTGTTGTTTAAATATTATATTATAAAATAACATTTGCACATACATTTGTTGATACAATTCTATTATCACACAATATTGTTCAGTAGATGTTTAAATTATTACCATTGTGTGACACCAGCCTTAAGGTCTATTTGGTCCAGGTCCAGCTGCAACTGAGAGCAACAAGGAAACAAAAAAGATGACGTCTCACATTTTCTGTGTCTTGTGATAGTAACTATGTCAACACCAGGAAACTTATGTGGGTTTGAGTGAAAACTAACTGCACTTCAGATGCAGCTGATGATATATACCTTGCCGATAAGCTCCCTCTCTCTGCTCATGAAGGAGACACTGTTCTTCACAGAGAGGTCCAGTTTTCTCTGCATGGACTCCTCGAGAGAGAAATCAAAGTCAAACCTATCGAAAGGGCGAGAAAAGTGGAAGAGGTCGATTAACATCCTTTCATCGCTTCTTTCACTATCATGGGTGTCTCGTTCGTTTGTCTTATACCTTTCGTTGAACTCTGGGTTGAGGTCTCTCTTCTTGGTGGCCGTTCTCCTCTTGGTCGTGGCCTTCTTGTCAGGCAGCAGGATGAAGGAAACATAAGGGTCTGCACCGTCCTTGGAGCAGGCTGCCAGGGATCTGTGCAGTCACATTCACAACATACAGTATGATGGTACTGGCTGCTCTGGGTCAAAAATGGGATGATTAAAAAAAGTAATGTGTATCATATAGAGACCTGCAGGAGTGAACGGTGATGAAAAGCCTGCTCTCCTCTGTGGAGTAGCCCAAGGTAAGCTTCACCTGGCCCGCTGTGGCTGAATCATTGACTCTGAAGGCACAGTTGCCAAAATGTGATTATCATTTTGATGATGTATTTTTATACATAAGCAAAGAGCCTACAGAGGAAACACTGATTACAAATCTATTCACGGTATGAGCAGTGACTGCACGACGGGGCATTGATACTAGCGTGTGCGACTCACATGGAGAAGCCACCTCTGTGTCTGATGTCTAGATGGGATGGAACCCATCTGGGGATGACCTCCTCTTCGTTTGCGTCACTACCTGCATCCCCCGGAGCCCGACGACACACCGCCAGCTGAGTATCCAAGATCTGTAAGATATGGAAATCATTTCTGCATAATAACTGCGTAACTCTACACCCTACATAGTTCATTAGGTACACCTAGCTAAAAGAAAATGCAAGCATTCCTGCAATAAATCCTCCTGCATGAAGGTTATAATATTCAGCTTTTATTGTTATTGTTTTAGGGTGTTGATTCAAGTGTGTGATCATTTTGGAGGATGTAGCCTGTGGTGCATTAGACTGCACTAGATAGATGTTCCTAATAAACTGCCAACTGACTGTATATAATGAGTCAATTCTTCAAACTTTCCATGGTGCATGACTTAAGTTATGAGAAAAATGAAGCAGCTGTCATTGTGAGCGTTGTACGGGGAAATCCACTATCAGACACTGATAAAAGTTGGTATAGATCTGCAATCTACATTTCCCCGAATGACAAATCTGCCCATTACCTACTGCCAGTGCCTGTGTACAGTACCTATTTATGGTGGTTGTGTCTTTTTGATGTTAGAGGAATAGTTTGTCATTTTGAAACATACACTACCTCACTTTCTTGTTAATTGGGAGGATTGATACTACTCTCGTGTAAATATGAAGTTTTAACCACGTAAAGTAGTGAAAACAGAGGAAAACAGGGAGCCTGAATCTGTCTTAACACATTATATCTCCTTTCTTTAATCTGTAGCAAAACTGAAGTGTAAAAAGAATTGTGGTTTTACAAGGGGGTTACACACTGGACTATTTCTTGTGCAATTATTTCCTTGAGTCTTGTTGTCACTGTGACATTGCCAGGCAACCAGCGCTGACTCTTGGCCAGGAAAACCACAAACTATCATTTTAACACAGGATATAAAGTGTTAAGTAGCAAACTTCAGCGGTAGCTAACTGGCTTCTGGCTCCAGCTTCATATTTACCGATGTGAGAGTGGTGACATTGTGCAGGGTATTTGTTATGTATCAGTGGTCTACATAATAATACTGCAGATGTAACATTGGACCAAGAGTAGATTATATTACAGTACGCTGTAAAGTACTGTATTCAGTGTGTTGCAATATTCTCTAAACAGAAAAACCTTTGAGCTACAAGTGATTCAGTACGGGATACATCACAGTCAGGACATTGGTCACATGCACGCAGACTGCAGTGTAGAGAAAATAAGGAGCATATTGTCAGTACCTTGAGTGTGGCCCTCAGTAGGATCTGGCTCTCTGGCAGAGCTCCATCCAGACTGAGCCAGCGGTCCAGCACCAAGCCCGGCTCAACAAGCACCTCCCTGAGAGGAAGTGTCAAGGACCCGAGGGCCTGGCCCCAGCTGTGCGAGAGCTAAATGAAAACACATGCATACAGATGCACGCACGTTTCAGACTTTTATCATGTCTGTATGAAAAGTCAGCTTTGTCAAGAAAATTTTGCGGCCGCAAGGTTCAGACAAAAAGTGGAAATACAGATTCTCACCTTGACCGTGAGTGTTTCATCTCTGGGGTCACGAATCAAAAAATGAAAGGCTTCGTCCCATCGAGGAGATGTGGAGCGCTCACAAACCTTGGGGAAAAGACTTTTGTTAGTCAACATTTTTCTCTCTTTTTTTTTTTTTTTTTTGCATACATATGCTCAGTATGAAAGTCGTGATCCTACCTTGGTTTTGTGTGAAACACCTTTGAGGATAATCTCAGCTCCTGCTTTTGGGTCCTTTCCACTTTTCTTCAACTGAAGTGTCGAACAAGGAATAACGTAATACAAAAATTGTAATCAACATCAGCATTTATTAAAACTAACACACATTACATTAGCGGTGATTTAATATAGAACTGAACATGCAGCTGTATTGGCACACTACAGTGCTCTATGCAATACAGTTCCACTAAAAGCAACCATTGTGCTTCTCCACTCTTTGAGGAGAGGAAAAACACATCATAATAAACAGCAAATAAAACCCCAAGGACTGGTAGATATGATCTCACCGGCAGGCCATGGGCACGCTCCACATACACAAAGAGCACGGCTGCTGATGGCACAACCTTGTTCTGGTACACTTGCTGGGACTGGTACTGCAGGATCTGTAGAAAGTAAGAAATTATGTCACACACAGAGAGAAAAGGACGTTTTAATAAGACTTAAAGTGCAATAAGAAAGTTCTGGGTAAAGTTATTTAGCAACACTACCAACAAAGATATTAACATAAATATACGAATCAATGCAAAGCATCTGCAAAACACTTTCAAAATCCTCACCGCAAAAGTGGTTTTCTTTCCTTTTAATCAGAAACTGTTGTATCTACCATAGCAACCAAACAACACTGCACGAAAACAAGGGTACTGACCGCTCACAGTACAAGATGCATCATTTAAACGATGGGTTTTTGGTATTTTTAAGCTTGCTGTTGTCATTCCTCCTGTACCCACAGGCTGTGAAGCAGTCCTCCTAGCACAACTGCACTACAAAAGATGGGGGGTAAAATCCACAATACTCGTTCTGTGCAAAAATGCATTTTAAAGGTCAGCTGAAGTTAATGTGAGGTTAGACAAACCAAGTGGGTATCACTACTGTTATCATATCTCAGCCACAAATAAACCTTCACAGGAAAGTATGCCTCTTCTGAAAGAACTACAGTCAGTGGAAACACAAAGTGGGAATTTCATTCTCGAAAGATTGTTACTTTAGCAGATATTCACATGATTTGGTTGTTGTGATGTATAGTGATATATATATATCACTATTTGTATATAGTGATATATACAGGCATCAGTGGTTCCCAACCTGTGGGCCAGGGCCCACTGGTGGGCTGCAAAGGTATTGTAAGTGGGCCGACAAATCATTTGCAAAACAGGACAATTTAAGTAAAAAGATAATGTTTTTAAATGCAATGATCTTCAAAAACATTAAAATTGTTTAAAAAACTTTGGTCAGTTTTTCTTTTCTTTTTTTCTTGTATTAAGGCCTCGGTATGTACGAAAGAATTCATATTAGACAAATGATGGATTTGGTAATTCTATCTTATGGCACTATCTTGTAATGGCCTTTCTGCCTGCAGCACTTACAGTTTAAAATAGTGTGGATGCCCATTCCTGCCAGTAAAAAAAAAAAAAAGTTTGTCATGATTTAAAAAAAAATAGTCATGGGTAATCAAGACTTTCACTGTTTACATGTTTATATATATGCATTTATTTATGCACATATATATACATATATGGCGGCCCACATTCGACCCTGTAAAAATATGGAGGCCAAATAATTCACACTCTCAGAGCACAAGCATATGTACATATATAGTGATATGGGCCAGCGGCAAAGCAATCTGGAGACGTACAGTATGTCTTATGGTTCTGGTTCTTAATTTCTTTGCAAGTATTTGCTCATATATTCTTTATTATGACTCAGTTTATTATTATTCTTTGTTGCAAATTGTTGACCAATTGTCTACGACCTCGAAATATGTAAATAAAAAGAGAATACAAAATAAAGTTTCTAACCTGCTCCAGTCTGGGCAGGTCGGACACTCTGGCCAGCCACTCCAGCACCAGGTGAACTCGGCCTGACTTCACATCATTTAGAGTGTACCACTGTAACAAGGTTGACACAGAAATGTTAAATTTCAATATTACATGTTAAATTACATAATGAAATCTTTTCAACTCTGTGTCACGCACCGTATCGATGAATTGTGCGCTGATGATATCTCGTAGGCTAAGCTTGAACCTGTAAGGACAGGACTCAATCAATACTTTGTACTTTATCCTCCTTTTCACTGACAGCTTTTCCTTTAGTTATGAGAGCCACAAGTTGTATAATAATAATAATAATAATAATAATAATAATAATAATAATAATAATGATAATACCAGGACGCACCTTCCGAGGAAGTCGTCCTGATCGATGTCCTTGTCAAACAACTCAAACTGGATCTCCTGACCAGGAAGCTGCGTCAAAATCACCTAAATCATAGAAAAAATATGTTAAATTTAATCTAAGACCTAATAATTTAATCAGAAAAGACTGGACCACTCGAGCATTAAACAATGGTAAAACCTCATAGAGCTCATTCCAGATGGGATTGAGGTTCTCTTTGATGGTGTGGCTGCGGAAGGTGATACCAGCCGCACGGATCTTGACATAGGGGTCACTCTTCCCCTTCACCATGCCCCCCATGAAGTTGTCCTTGGCTATCAGGTTTTGGGCCTCTAACAGATGAATACGCAGCACTCCCTGTGAGCAGAGCAAGGACGGGGGAATGTTACAACAGTGCATGTTTGAGAGACTGAGCTGTGTCTGCTGCTGTTCGACTCTAGGTAAACAATTGTTCACCTCAGTTGCAAACTCCGGGTCGGGTGTGGTGTGCTGCGGTCGTGCTGGCTGAGGTTTAGCTAACCCACCGGGCCCCATGGGGTTCACTTCTGATGTGATTCCCCCCTGACCCATCCCGGATCCAGAGGATGAAGGGCGAGGAGACGGAGTTGTAGGGGTGGCATCATCACTTAGCCACAAAACCTAGCAGGAGGCAAATAAGAGGTTACGATGAGCAGATATCAAGCAGTAAATAACCAAATAACATTTATTTGATTTCTGGTAATAAGAAAAAGCTTCTTCACTTCAGGATGGACAAGGAAGAGAAACTACAGGTTTCTGTGTGAGCATTTTTCTGTACTTACGAGGACCACATTTTCTCTGAAGAACAGAAAGATGAGGCAGACAGAAGACATGCGGACAGTCTACTTTAAAGGGATAGTTCGGGTTTTTTGACATGGGGTTGACATACATTTTTTCAACCACTGAACTACCGTATTCCTACGCACAGGCGCACCTGCAGAGTGCACTGTATTACGCCACTTTCTGATTCCCTCAGCTGAACTGCGGTGGTGCGTGGGAATATGGTAGTTCAGCGGTTGAAAAATGTAGTGCCAAAGGAAAGTGCCGTTTTCACATGAAGATAAACAGCTGAAAATATTCTACATGAAGCGTACATTTAAACAGATTTTGGATTGTTTTAAAAGGCTCTGTGTGGCTCTGCTAGTCTGCCGGTGCTTTCCTAACTGGGAGCGCGCTGAACAGAATCTACAGCAGGTAATGTACCGACTATTCATGAGTACCTGACACAACCCCACATTGAAAAACCCAAACTATCCCTTTAAGTTTCGATTTGTGTGTTAGGGTTAAGTTCAGGCATGTCAATGGGAGTAGTTACTGATTAGAAATTCATGTAGTGAAGATCATTATCTTAAGTCTAGTGATGCAGATTTGTGTGTACATGTGCTACACTACAACTGTAAGTTCTTTATTCTCTGTGTTATGTCCACAAGGATTTGATGTCAACAGCTGACAAACACATAAATGGTAAGTTTAGGGCCAGATGATAGCTTCATGAGGCCAAAGCTGTCCTTCGGGTGCCATTAGGATTTCAAAGTCTTCCACACAGACACTGGTTATTTCCAGGAACAGGGCTTGAATCCACATCTTACTTATTTACTCCAGTGGCCAACACATGTCCAAGTCCATCAGTGCAATACCAACCCTAAGCACAATTTTGACGTAGATGCGGCTGGCTGAACCAGAATCCTCCAGATGGAACCACTGGTCCATGGTGAGTTCAGGGGTCGCCAGAATACGGGTCAGAGGGATGGTGAGACTGCCTAGGGACAGAGCACGGTCGTCATCTTTGACCTGATTGAAAAAAAAAAAAAAAACAGGAACAGAAGACATGCAGTTAGAACGAAAACCAGCTGGAAAAGCAAAAATAAAGGGAAAGGGGCCATAAGTAGGTTAAAAAGAGGAGAGTTCAGTTTACAGAGTAATCACAGAGAATAAGAGGAAAAACTGAATACTGAGTATTTACTGTACTAATCACCCCAACACCTTGGGAGTAAATGTATGTAATAAACCTACCAAGCTTAATTGGTGCATTTAATCATTACTCGTGTAATGACTTACTTGAATGTCAATGTCTTGTTTGCGAGGATCCTGAATGAAGAAGGTAAAAGCATCCTCCCACACAGGGCTGTTGGTCCCGTAACAAGTCTGAAGAGGAAAGGCGAAAAACATTCATTATGTTCAGTTCGGTTTACTAACATACTAATTAATAGTTAAAGTTTTATTCTCACCTTGCTCTCTTTAGTCGTATCCTGAATGGAAATCTGCACCATTGGGCTCGGATCCTTATTGCCTTTCCTCATCTACAACACATTAAATACATACATGTGGGTAACAAATGAAACTTTAAGGCTCACCACATGACAGCATCTTAAATAGTTGTAATCTTACAGGCAGTTCGTAAGCTTGGTCAAGATAGACGGCTATGATGGCGGCAGATGGGGGATCAGCTGTCTTACTGGTCAGGTTCTGGTTCTTCTGGATCACCTGGTAGAAGAACAACAGATGGAGGTGAAGAGCATGTGGAGAAAATGATCTGGATCTTTAAAAGCCTGAAGCCCAAATAGTGGCTACCAACAATTTTACTATTTGTATAAGTTGATGAACAATGTGTTATTGATTTAATGTTTGACAGTTTTACATTGGTCTTATTTATTTAGATTGCTGTTACAACCTATTACTTAACTTAGTTCCCAAGATGAACTTCTTAAACACAGAATACACACAAACTTAAATATAAAATATATTAAAGATAATACGATACATCCGACAGTACAAACAGATAATTGCTAAAACCTTCCACACAAACCCAAAGAGGCCAGTTTAGGTTATTTTTGGCATGTTATCTTTCATATGATTCTTAGTGGCAATTTAATTTCTGATTATAGATATATATTTGTTTCATTCTGACTTTGTGACAGATTTTGTATTTTATCAGTCAGTCCTGTGCTTCATGTTTATTGCTGCATATCTTGCTGCTCTCATGAAAAAGAGATTTTTAAACCTAATCAGGATTTCTTGGTTAAATAAAGGTTAAAGTTTAATAATAGTAATAACAACAACAAGATTCATATATAATAATATAAATACGTTTTGACTCAACTGTAAAAGAGTTTAACTTTATATTTTTGTGATGAAATAAACATCAGGGCAGATGAAGTTCTAGTAAATAAGCGGTTTAAGAAACTAATCTTGTAACCACAATGGCAAATCTGATTCCAGTCCGGAACCTTGCTTGTTATCGCCCTCTTTTCTTGTGTGTCCTGTCTCTCTACACCGTCACGCTCTCTACAAGAAGGGTCAGAGTCGCCTTCACCTGCTGAGGAGACTGAGGTCCTTTGGCATGTGTGGGGCTCTCCTCAGGACCTTCTACGACTCTGTGGTGGCCTCAGCCATCTACTTCGCTGCGGTCTGCTGGAGAGGGGGGCAGCACTGACAGGGATAGGCAGAGGCTCAACAAACTGATCCGGAAAGCGAGCTCTGTCCTGGGCTGCCCCCTAGACTCCATTGAGGAAGTAGGTGACAGGAGGATGTTAGCTAAATGTTAGCTAATGTTAGCCTACCCTCTGCATGACACTGTAGGGTCTCTGAGTAGCTTCTTCAGCAGCAGACTTTTACATCCTCGCTGTAAGAAGGAGAGGTTCCGCAGGTCCTTCATTCCAGCAGCTGTCAGACTCCACAACTCCTGCTCTTCCTGACCATGTGCAAACTTGCACTTTTTCATGTACATATCATGTGTATTGTGTATATTGTATTTATTAGTGTATATTTGGTGTATTTTTGATGTATATTTCCATAGATGTTTATTCTATAGATGTTTATTTTTCTGCTGTGGTAAATGAATTTCCCAGTTGTGGGATTAATAAAGTTAATCTAATCTAATACTATCAAATAAAAGGAAAAATACTATATAAATAAATCAATAATATAACAACAATAATGTTCTGATGATTATAAGCACATCAATTTGTCCACACTGCTACCCAAAGAAGATCTATTGAGTAGCAGTAGGTGAGTTAGGTGCAGACTCACCTCACTCAGTCTGTCAGCAGAGGACAGCAGAGAGAGCCACTCCAGCCGGAGGTGAACACTGCCAGTTGAAACGTCCCTCAGGTTGAACCACTGTTTACAAAAACAGAGGGCTCATAAAATAATACACACATTTTTCTCGTCTGGCCAATTTCTTTGAGCAGGATGCCAGTATTGAAGGTGATGAGATCAGAGCAGATCACGAGGAAGCTCATGGGATCTGTAGTGTCACATGCTAACAGGATTACTGCAGTCTTACTCAGATATTTTCCTGGGCTAAACAATATAACACTGTGTTCTCATGTTTGATGTTTGTTATTTGATCAAAGAGAGAGACTAAATATAAAGGTAAAAATACCGTTACTACTTACATCATCCACAACTCTGGCCTTCTTTACAATATCAAGATCCACCTTGGCCCTGAAAGAGAGAGAGATGGAGAGAGGTAGGGGGAGAATCAATGAAGCCATGAATCAAAGAGATTCATTTCGTTCATTTCAACAGAATCATGGCCCAATGTGTGAAGAGCAGAGATGGAAATGAGATGAAAAGCACATAGAGACAGAGTAAATGAGTGAGAATGAATAAGCTACCTCCCCAGGAAGTCATCCTGGTCTGGGTCTTTGTCAAATACTTCCACTTCCAACTCCTGACCAGGTACTTCATGGACAATCACCTGACACACATACACACACATAAATGGACAAATACACAAATACACACAACAAAAATACAAATATAGATACAGCCACACACGACACAATAATGCAAGGGCATGCAAACAGAATCACGATGGCAAGAACTTTTCTACTTTTAATTTAATATCTATTCAGTGTTCGGCTCGAATTTCGCAAAGCACAGGAAAACAGAAATGTGACCCTGAGAAAACAATTTTTGCAAGAACTCCTTATCTCAGAAACAGCAGCTTCCTGTTTCAAGAGGAGTAGATAAAATCGCCACAAAACTGTTTATCTCTGAAGTGCTGCTGATGTATTTACTACCAAAGACTTAGTGCCATCCCTATCAAGCAAGGACACCAACACCAAGCTATAAGTTTTAAACACACAAACTGGTGGGAATTGCAGCAGTTGAATATCAAGGTAAAGCCACATATCTCTTCTTTGGTTTTGAGCTCAGTTTTGGCTTTTCCTCCCTCCCAGCCCCTCTCACCTCATACATCTCCCTCCACTGTGGGTGCAGGTTGCTGTCTACGTGATGAGAGGTGAAGATCTGGGTTCCTACACGCAGAACGGCATATGGGTCCGATTTCCCATCAATCAAACCTTTGATGACTGTATCCTTAGCGGTCAGGTCCTCAGCCTCCAGCAGATGGATACGCACAACTCCCTGTGCATGTGCCGGGAGTTCACATGCAGGAAAACACAAGCAAGCACAGAGAATATCAAAATGTATCTTCACAAAACATGGCTTTTCATTCACAATGTGAATTTGCTGTATGATTTTCAGGCTATGTGTTTGCTTGCAGCTAACGTTCTCAGACAGAACTGCTTCACTCTGTGTGGGCCCGTGTTTCTCCAGGCCATTTATTATAGAAACAGTTACCCTTGGGAGAGGGGAGCGGAGCTGCGCAACGTGCAGGTCGGCCACCAGGGGGATAGTGAGACGATTGGGGAGCACCAGGTGGGAGGCTATTGCATCCATTATCATAGTGTCCGACATGGCACTGCAAATGAATGCAAGGACGATGATGGGGACACACAAGGGAGGGACACACAGACAGACAAAAAAAACTATACACTACCACTGACATGCATTAATAACATGATGTCCAGGTTCACACTAACACAACCAACAGGAAGCACCCACTGGCTGTACAGGGCAGTCTTCTGTGAAATCATGTTGGCTAATTTAGAGGAGGAGCACAATTAAAAAATTATGACACTATCACTGAAAGTATTGCCAGAGGGGGCTGATGTGTCAGCAACAAACTGGCCCCGGACAATGCTTTAAGTACATTATATAAAGATCACAACACACACAGTGTAGAATCAGCCACCACACAATTACACTGAATATCACTGTAAATAGAGTTGGATTATTCCCTTTCGTCAGACCATTAGTTTATCTTCATTTTCTGTTTAAATGTACTGCAGTTGATTCTACATTGTCCACATTCTGATCTTACATAATGGACCTGAATAAAAACTACCTGAATATAAATGTATGGAGTCATAGTATTACTTGTTGAATACAAGAACCACCAGCACAGCTTTAGTTCTAACAACTTAAAGGATAAGATTGGTATTGTTCAATATTTTTCTTATTGTCAATAAATCAAATGAAAAGGACAAAACCAACAAGGTGTTACCCTAGACTACCCATAGACCTCCCTACTCTGTCTATGATAATTGTCTAAAAATGCTGGGAAATGCAGTGTTTAGTAAATGTTGCTCTAATAAGAGGAAATTGTGCATTAGGTGGAGGCTAATTTCAGATGAATTTCCTGCTCTGTTGAGTTTTTATCACTAGGGCGGTCCATGTGGGATTAAAGTGATTAAAGTTCAGCTTATTTGAACTGGGGTTGTGTGAGGCACTTATACATAGTCAGTGTATTACCTGCAGCAGAGTCTGATCAGTGCCCTTTTCAGTTTAGAGAAGCAGCCGGGAGTACCGGCACCAAAACTGAGTGATGTGATGCGTACCTACGCTCAGCTCTTTCTGACTCAAACAGCTGATCTGCAGCGTAATACAGTGTGCGTTTGTGAGTAGTAATATGGTAGTTCAACAGTTGAGTAGCAGAAAATATAGTTCCAAAGGAAAGGGCTGTTTGACAGCAAGATAAAGCTGTGAAAATATACAAAATACACTTAAACTAATATTAGCTTTTTGAGTGTGCATTTGGCAGCACATCACTCAGTTTCTGTGCCAGTACTCCCGGCTGCTTCTCTAAACTGAGAGGGTGCTGATCCAAATCGACTTCAGGTAATACACTGACTACATACAAATAGTCCGCACAACCACTCATCAAATAACCCCAACTATCCCTTTAACTTAAAATAAACTACAGTTCCCATGTTAGTGGTAATGAAGAGACATGTCAGTGCAACAGTGAGACCCACTGCTCACATGTTTTTAACTGCCTCGGGACAATACTGAAGCTCTATGGCACTGAGGAATAAGCTATATCAGGCGTTGGCTCCGTGGGCAATACTTGTTAATAGGATCAAGTCATTGTTGGTTTTTGGCTTTTCATAGGATTTGTGGACAAGAGCAAAAATGAAGCATATTGCCACGCTTATCCTTTAAGGATGTGACCACACAGATCTGCCACTGAACAGAGAGACTTTTAAGCACTGTTGTCTGTCTCAGTTTGTCTTGCAACTCCTTTTAATTAAAGGAAAAGCCTCTCTGATCCTAGTTGCTGAATAAATAATACATTCTCTGTTATATCAGTTACATCAGGTCCAAAAAGTGTAGAAGCCAAACTGCACACAAAAACAGCTCCTACAACTGGCACCCTTCATTAAAAAAAAAAAAAACAGTCACAACAGCTCTATCATATCAACTCACTTCAGCCCAGGGATATCCAGCAGGTTGGTAAGCCCAGTCCAGTTGATGTCCAGTTTCTACACATATGGAACATATGATACAGATGCAAGTAATGGCATGTGAAGAAGTGTAGGCCTTTAGATAACAATGCAGTGAGAGACAGAAAACACTCACAGGCCTGCGGATGAAGAACATTGTGATGGCTCCAACCAGAGGCACATCTCCGATCAAAGGCTCGAGGATCACACGCAGCTTCCCGTGGAGCTACAAAGAGAAATTTTTAATTAAAAATATGTTTTCAGGCCACTCAACTGCAATAATAATAATGAATATCTTAATAATTATTCTTCTACCTGGATTCCTTTCACTCCAGCTTTGCAGAAGTACTTTTTGATTTCAACATTGACTTCGACGTCACCAGCATAGCTGCAATAGAGGAGCAGTGACAGATGCACATTTAACCAAGTGAAGCAGTTGATATGAACTGTGATAAAGCTGATTTCTTTCCTGTGCTAAGTAAACAATGATCTGCTGTGACAGATAAGGACAAGCCCTTGTGAAAGATTCACAATACACAAGCAACAGTATAAAATGAGGCACTAAAAGTTGTGATGCATTACCTCAGGTATAAATCCAACATAACTTGTCTCTTATCGTTCTCTGTGTGAGCCTTTACACCGGACACCTTCAAAGCCTGTGAACGAAGCAGCTGCTGTTAAACAAAGCAAACAAGACTGGAAGAGACTTTATGAAATCACATTAGAAAAGATTCACATGAAGATCATCAGTCGCTGTCATGAATGCATCCTCTTTATGCTTGTAATGAAGAGAATAGTGAGACTAGTCCCGCATTACCAGACTTAGATACATATTACCAACATCAGTAACCCGTGCTTCACTGTATTTTCTCAGTCATGGGACATTTACAGGATAAACGGTTACTTTTATGACAGACAATTACCTTATCTCCTATGTTGACCTTGGTGAAGCTGAGAGTCTGCAGGTGAATACTGGAAGCACGGATGGCGGGAGCAATGGTTTCTACCAGCAACTTCTCCAGATACTGGCCGACAAAGGGCCAAGCCTGCTGCAGGATCTACATGACAGAACATATGGCCATTCATTATTTTCCTGTTAAGGTTTTAGAAACAGTAAAGCCACGAGCCAATGCTTCATTTACATACAAAGTATATATGATCATCAATCATAAATTGGTTAATGTAATCAAATGTAGTTCACGTTTACGTCCATATAATGTAATTCTCTGAGTAACAATGAGTTATAATTTGTGTAAAAGCGTAGTCATAGCAAAGGGCTTCCTGTGAATAAAGAAATATTTACCAGAACATGACAGAAAATAACAAAGAAAGATTAACTCACAATAGAAAACACCTGCTTCACAAAGCCATAGCCACAGACTGTTTGCCTTGTGGCTGAAAGACTTTTTGTAGAAGTTTTTACAAAAGCCCATCTGAGAAAGGCTGGAATCCAAATTGTATTGAAGTCGCTAGTTTTTAAATAAATTAGTCGAGTGCCCTCCAGTTATTATTCATCTGGGAGAGCATCATTCTGAAGTACAATTAAAAAGAAAAATTTATCATCAATGCTTTACTTCATGGGTCCATAAGTTCCTATGAAATGTCCTAGAAAGAACAATGTACTTGTCACTAATAAAATGGAAAATAAAGACACTTCCAATTAATAATCCTTTTAATTGCTCCTGTAACCTAGAGAGTCTTTCACTGCACAGCAGGTCGGCTGAACATGCAACCAAGTGACATTTGTCTAAAGGAAAGAATATAATTCATCATTGGAGAATAAAGTTTATAATAAGAAATTATTAATGAATAAATATTTATCTACATTTAAATGGAACATTTCTTTTAAGAAAATTCTAATAAATCCAGGAAATTGTTTTTTTTTTTTTTTAGGAAATAATTCAGAAATTATGGATCTGTAGAATAAAGCATTAGATCAGTGTGTCAGCGTATCACTCCACACTGCCACACACTGGAGTTAGCTTCAGCGTTTCAGTGTGAGGTGTATCAAGTCCTGTCAGCTACTGATTACCAATCCCCTGACCACCTCCACCAGTCATGTGACTTGTGATACTAATAAACTGCAGCTACAGGCAGGTGGGTGTCCTATACATTATTTATGACACAGACAGTTATAGAAATGCAGGTAGTAACAATGCATCCTATAAAATAGAGCTCCCCTGGGGCTTTTTTCACATCCATTACTCACAGTCATTATCAGCTCCTTTTCTCTGCATGTACTCATTTCTTTAAGTTGTTGAATATAATACATGGTGAGAACATTTTGAGGCTGATGTTTGTTTGTTTACAGCTGCGAGAGAGAAGGGTAAGCGTGGGCAGCTGGATCACATGTCAGGAAGCCTGAAGGAGAGACGTGGGCTGGCGAAAGATGGGCCCAGCAAATTTCCATCCTACAATCTGGGCTTCTATCACTGACTTCATTGCATTTTTCCCTCCAGAAAGGCGCTTTGTCTTATTAGTATTCACATCCACACTTGCCCTGTGCTGATGTGAGGTTACTGTACTGACAGAGACTAAAAGACTGCAATATGATCTGAGCCGCTCTTCCTGCCTCTTAATTACACCATTCGATTATCTGCTCTGATGGAGAGGCTGCAGCTGGAGCCAGGTCACTCAAAGTCCACGCAAGTGTTCTTTATCTTAATATTAAAAGTGAGTTGTTGTAGCTACTGTTGGGAGCTACTCGAGTGAATCCTAAACACCTTATCTAGAAACAATTTGTTGTTTATTTTGCTTTGCTAAAAGTTCAGCTGAATGAAGCAGAGCAGTCCTTTATCACACAAGCTGAATAAATTTTTCTTTAAAAAAAAGAAAAAAAAAAAGATAAATCCCTCATGGTAAAATATACAGCTGCACCCATGCATTGTCTGATAGGAAAAAAACATACCTTATTCAGCCACTCCACTTTTTCCACATCTGGAAAGTTGACCTGTGGACAAGTAATATGGCTCAGGCATGAACTCAGATAGGACAGGGTAGTGTAAAATGACATTGAACAGTGAGAAGTGAGAAGAGAAGTTAAAATACTTCTTTTAGTGGGCCTAATGTTTTTCTTTACTTCAGTAGAGTTCAGTCAAGGTTCTACTCTGTTTACATATTAAGCACAAACCGCAAATCAGCCTTTCCCCTAAACCACTGAGACTTGATATGACAGATTAGGCCTATCTGCCCCACACACACACACACACACACACACACACACAAACACACACACACACACACACACACACACACACACACACAAACGTACAGTTTATCCTCTCTCTCACTCTCTCTAACCATATACAGTGGTCCTGGTCACTGCCTCTGCTCTAACGGATGTTTATGAGTCATCAGGTTTTTGCAAACAGGCAGCGTATTGAAACAGGAAGAGGAAACACACAAGAGAGAATCTCTACCATTGTTAGATAAATTATCTTGTCTGTATAGTCGTAGCCGTGCATTTTGCTGTCAACTCAGTGTAAGGTCTCCTCAACGTCAGTGTCATTTTTTACACCTTTGCACTATGAAGACTTCATCATCTGACATGTTCATTTCACATTCCTCTGTGTGGCAGCAGTTCAGACTAATTCCCCAGGCACTGCACACAAGGAATGTCTAAATGTGGGGCTGGTCTGACACAGGAGGAAAAATACAATGAACAAACGGGACCTTCATGCACATATTTATTGTGTGCTGCCATACAGCTCCGTGTCTTTTTATGTGTGTGTGTGTGTTCACTTTAGAGCGTCTGAACAAATAATAAGTGCTTACTAGTGAGTTACAGGCTATTCATGGAGGTGCAGCTCAAGTTCAACCTGGCAGATGTGACAGATGTGACAGGTGATACAAAACTGCAGAGCACGAGCATGGCGGGCGGTGAGCCAGCTAAAAGTGTGAATACAAGTCCTTACCCAGGGAGGCAAATCCCTTTTGGTTCTGAAAACCTTTTCAGTGGTGAACTCCCTCTCGTTCTCCAGCAGGTACATGGCAGACTTGAGCCTCATCACTTTCTCCAGTCGACTGTGCTTCCATCCCATGTAGATCATCAGACCGAACAGCACAACGCTGATGCTGAAGCCGTAGTATCCGGCCAGGTACACCGGCACAAGCGCACCCAGGCATTTCCCAAACGACCACAGCACACTGACTGCGCGTTCACTGGGGGGCTGGTTCGGTAAGGCCGGTGCTGCAGCCCCCGTGTCTCTGCCCATCGTGCCCGGCTCTGCATCCGCGGTTGGCATCGCAGGTTCCGACTTCCGACTCCGGTTTCGACTTCACTGGATCGAGCTGGCCTTCTGCTCCTCTGCTACTGTGACTGAGTGGCAAGCGCCAGAGAAGACTTACCGCTGATTTATTATAGAAACCATCGAGAAATCAGCGATAACTTGCTGGTTTGGATCGGTTAAATCATGATCACGGCTCGTCTTCGCTGTCCTCCCCCCTCAGTTCCGCAGGGCGCTAAAATTGGCTATTCCGTGTTTCATCTGAGTGTAATGCTCCTCTCTCTGAACAGGGCAAACAGAGACTAAGACCAGTGAGGGCGGGATCTGCTTGAAACCCTCCTTCGCATTAAGTCCTGTAGAAACCTAAACCCAAGAATTAACTTGTAGCGTCACGCACTGCCTCAGGCGGAGCGTTTTACAGCTTAGGAGCAGAGTCAATTAATGTATATTTTAACTTAGGACACCAGAAGGACACGTTTTATCCAGAGTAACATCATCACCGTGTAAACTGAAGGATCCACTACCCCCAAAATACTGCAATAACAATTCACAGGTTGCTCAACCCGTTATCTTTTTCTTTTTTTTTCTTTTTTTTTTTTTTTTTACATAACCAGAATAAATCCTCCTGCACGCGCAAGCGCTCATCTCCACTGCAGCAGCTTCATCAGCAGAGCATGACAGCACCTACAGGTTCACTGTCAGTACAGTGTTTCAGCTGTGCCGCTTCATCGAGTTACACACAGGTGGCCTGCATCAGACACCGTGGTGTTTAGGGTCAAGGCGGCAGAGTGAGTCGTGACACCTCAAGCATATGCGCCAGTTGCATCTGAAGCAACGTTTGCAGTACCCCTAAAATGTAGGTAAACTGAGCACTTTCTTCCCCAGCGTAGTGTAGAATTTGACATTCAGGTGCGTTTTTTTTCGGCTCGAGGGTTTTCTCATTTTAACAGTTTAATTTATGCTCGGTAACTGAAACAGCAGGTTTAAAATCGCTCCCCGGTTTCCAGGCGACAGCCAATTAGCTGTGTTTGCTCAGGGGGTGAAAAGTTTGATGAACCTTTGTGCAAACAGATACATGAAGAACATGCAGCAAGACACGCAACAATAACCATGTTATTTACATAAGTATAGAGACCAAATACAGTACATTTTCATTGTCCCACACTTACAACTATACAACTCACTTTATAACCTACTGCATTTTGACATGTGGTTTATATTTATAATACATATCTATCTATATTTTGATACTTACCTCTGGTATTTCTATCTAATATTAAGCAGCTGTCCTTTTAAAAAAAAATGTTGCTGTAGGCTATATTTAGTACTTATAATGCAGCCTACATGCACAGGCAGTTTAGGTATTTTTATATTGTTGTTTTTGAATGACTTGGCATTATATCATATCTCAGAATTCCGTTGTAAGAGACATTGATAACATGATTTTTTTAGATGCTAATTTCAGTGTTTCTTTTGGTTTATTCCATTATACAGGACATTAGTTAACTTTTGGTTTCAAATTCAGATTCAGCATGTGTTATTGAAAGGGAAAACATCCTATGGCCTGATACCAAAATTGCTGTGTTATCAGTTCAGTGCTGAAGTTTGACCACAGTAGCCACATGCCTGTTTTGTTGATAAAGTAAAGGTGTTACAATGATTCCCTCTCTGGTAACGTGTTCATAGAATATATTGATGTTTCCTGGCAAGAAAGAAAACAAGTAGCATCCCCTCTCTGGCCCTCTCCTGTGTTGTACAAGCTACTGTCAACACTTTGACATTAAACATTAAAAGCAAATATCATGTGACAGAGATGGAACTTATTTATGCATTGTCTGCTGATTTAAAAGTAGTCAGTCAGCTCACAGTCGACCAGTCATTATAGATCCTTTTTTCCCCATCCAGAAACTGTTATTCACTCAGTAATATGTGCTAATGTGTAAATCATGATAATTGTGGCTTCACTGGTCTGTGTGATTGAAATAGATACAGCTCATCAAAATACCTCCAAACCCACCCAGTGCTTCCCTAGCCCACGTCAATTCACATATTTAGCAAAGGTGAAACTAACTAATTTCAATAAATAACCACATCATGGCCTCGGTAATGAAAACAGCTGTTGGGAGAAGCAGAAGTAGCAGTCACAGGATAATGATACAGCACAGGCCAAGTAATGTAGCAAGAATGATCAAAGTTCAAACTGGACCTTGTGTCAGTCAGATGTCAGTTTGGTTTTGCCAATACTTATTTACATGGATTTATAGTCAACAATGCAAAACTATTTAAGGCACCAAGTTTTTTGTGTGATAATGTGTAATTGTGTTTGTTTGCTACAACAAGTTGTTCATGCAGTGATGGCTTTGCAAAGTGTGTGTTGAGCATTCCCATAATCAATAGATATTAAATTTTCTAATTACCATACCATATTATATGTTGAATGTCCACTTACCATACTTTCACTGGGACTTTGTGGATTGATCAAGACAATCACTGGGCAGCTTCAATGAGGGTATTGTGGGTACTATAACATCTGTTTCCTGGGCATTTCTGTCTTGTGTAAACTACACAACTACACCATCTACTGATAATTTTTAGTGGCTGCAGTTACAAACTCAGCAGATGCTAATTGGAGTGAGTTTATTTGGATGTTTCTCTGTTACCACTGAGCAGTGTTTACTGGGTTGTGCTTGCCTCCAACCAACAGTTTTGTTATTTGTTGGATCTTTCAATTACATCAACCTGTCAGCTCGGCCTGTTTTACCGTCCGAACATACTGCAGAATCCTAAAACTACATTCTGCTTTCAGTGATCGGGACAGGGCTGGTAGTGTCTGCTTGATGGCCTTAAAGTTATCATCATCTAATTCATCTGGACGGCGTCCTCCAGTTAGTTACGATCAGTGCTAATAGACAGGAACTTGAAGCTCTGCCAGTACACAATCAAGTCAACAGCACCGGGACACTTGAATAAACAAAAGGACCATAACTCAAGTTACAGATAGAGATGATGTTACTGTGCATGAACACATCACTTATTTCTTATAATATTATAATACATTCAAGTTATTACATCGCTGCCAGGATCAGACAGAGTTTGGGAGTCATTTTGTCCCCTGTTCATAAAATACTGTATAGTAATACATTTTGTTTTATTATTCCATAATTCTTACTTGTGCCTTGAATAGGGATGTATTGTGGTTTATGGGGTATAATGCATTAAATATCCACTAATACTGACAGCAGAGTTCTCTTTACAGCTTCTGAGTATAACTGCAAATGGAAAAGAACATTACATTGTAAAAGGGAACAATATGAACACTATCCTCTTCAAGTGTTTTCCAGCAACAGCCAGATTGGAAGTGATCTTAGGTAAGGACGGGGTGAATTATTAGACTGCCTTCAAGGGTAAAAACAAGATATATTAGTGCGCTACTTGTCTTGAGTGAGCTCTGTGCAAAGGTTACAGCATTCAGACACACACTCAAATCATGGGATATGGATAGAATCTGAAATCCTTTTTAACAGAAATTTGACCTCAACTTCCCATTACAGATAGATCAGATAGATCAGATAGATAGATAGATAGATAGATAGAGACAGATTAGTTCACTTCCTTTGGCTGAGGTGTTATATAGCCTGATGGCAAAGGGAACAAAGGATCTCCTAAACCTCTCTGTTCTGCAGAGCAGTGAGATCAGATGTTTGCTGCAGCTGCTTCTCTGTCCTGCCAGTGTTGTGGAGAGGATGGTTGGTATTGTCTAACATGTGCTCCATCTTACATTGCATGCATCTCTCCACAACAGTCCTGAGTGAGTCCAGCCTCCTACCAAGCACAGCCCCAGCCTCTTTGACCAGCTTGTCCAGTCTCTTTGTCTTCAGGTCAGACATTCGCTGCCCCAGCAGACTGAAGCATAAAAGAGTACACTGGCCACCACTGACTGATAAAACATGTGCAGCATTTCACTGCAGACGTCAAAGGACCTGAGCCTCCTGAGGAAAAAGAGCCGGCTCTGCCCCTTCAGATAGATGGCATCCATGTTCGAGGACCCGTCCAGTTTACTGTTCAGGTGCACACCTAGGTATTTATAAGTGTGCACCACCTCAATGTCCTTCCTTCGAATGTTGACAGGCTGAAGGGTGGGCCTAGGCCTCTGAAAGCAAGAACAGAATCAAAGAACATAATCCTCATGTAACTACCTGGCTTATCCAAGTAAGAATGGGCCCAGTGGAGCAGATGTGTCTGTAAGCCAAGCAGGTTCAAAATGTTGAGCAAGGATACTTGTATAGGTCCTTGAATAAACATGACAACTATTATGTATTTGTCAGCACTCGGGTTACATTTTTATTGTTAAAGTTGCAAATCTCTATTCAAGCTGCGATTAAATATAGCACTTGCCAATTTTTTTTTTTTTTTTTTTTTTTTTTTTTAAAATAAATTAGAGGTTGTGGCAACATTTGTATATGCGTCAATCTAAATGTTGTACATATACAGCTGTACAATATACAATTTGTGTAACAAATTGTTAAATTTTTCACAACTTTTTCATTTAATGTTACATTATACTGCTGCAGTTTTTACACTGCTGTTTGAGAGCTACAGATACACTTCCTTAAGTACAGGGTATGAATACTTCCACCACTAGCTAGTCACTTTCTAAAAAAGGTGAACAAGCAGTTACCTGGTTTAATGACTGCTCTAATGGCCATTTTCATAGCAGAAACTTTCACTGTCACATTAGGAAAAGCGCAGGTAACAAATAACATTAACAATGGCTCTGTTGAATGCAAGTGTACCAGTAAGCCACAGCAGGGAAAACACCAAGCACAATACCGGGACCCTGAGGCAGCTAAAAAGGGAATTCAGCCATCACCAATTTTGTGATTTACACCAGTGCTTTTCCTACTGTGACATGTCAAAATGTCATCCATGAAAACTGCATTTTGGCTTAAGCTATTTGAACAGTGCACCTGGAGGACAGATACACCACTCTCAAACTGTTTTTAAAATCACCACTAGACCCATCATAGAACCTCTTAGGGAATGACAAGGTCAAATCAGTTTGTATTAAGAAAAAAAATACAAGCTCTAAAAGTTCTTTTTTTAAACCAAAACCTTTAATCACAGTATAAACAAAAACAAATGACCAAAGTTGAGGAGTTAAAAACAAAGAGTCCAGAAAGTCCCAGAGGAAAAGCCTGACATCCAGCAGGTCAGGAATCAGCTCTCCAGCGTCAATCAGCTGCCACTGCCTCGGGTCGATACGGACTCCACTGGCCTCAGACTTGACACAAGGGAGTGGTCCTGGATCTCCAGCTGTGCTCACTGGTCTGGTTAGTAGCAACATTTGATGTCACAGCCATGGCGGAGTGGACAGTTTACTTGGACCTCTGCCTCATCTTTCTCCTTTTACGCTTCAGCCTAAAAAGTGATAACCAAAAGAGCCAGTTAAGACAGAAAAGCCTTCACAACATGATATAAAAAAAAAAAAAAAAAGGCACATTTATTTCTAATAGCACTTTAAACAATTTAAAGGCCGTTTGACCCCACACTATACAGTAGAAACCCAGTGACAGCATGACCAATTTTTCATTAAGCTATCACATTTTCAGTGCTTCCCAGCAGTGTATAACAATTCATAATTATATTTAAAATCTTGCATTACACGTATAGATTAACCAATAATTTAAGATTTTTCTCGTGCGTTAATTTCAGATCTTGCAGATTATAATATACTATGAGAGAATATTCAAGTCTTATGTAAATTTGAAATCACCTTCATGTGTTTTTAAATATAGGAGACTGAATTAAATTTAAAAAAGACGAAGACATGCAGACACCGAAAACGTGCGCTATACAATCTTACCTGCGCATGCGCTTCTTTCTCCACTGTGAAGGAAAAGGACAACATTAAATAGCTGAATTTAGATTTATTAATGGATTTCTGAATACACTCAGATATACTCGAAACTCAACTGAAATAGACCACACTTGGAAAAGTAGATTTATAGCAAAAAGGTAAGGCTTATGGTCGTGCTCGTTACAGCGCGTCGACATGCTAACTGGCTAAATGTTAGCACCATTTTAAACTGTAGATTTTAGATCATACAGACGTTAAACACAAACCTTAGCTCTCATGTCGAAGAGGGAAGGCTGAAAACAGAGGAGGAAATGTTGTGGATTAGCTCGATTGATTTAAAAAGACGACGATTAACTTGGATTCTGATTACAAACACCTGAGGTTCCACTTACCGACCGCTAAGCAACCGTCTCCACGAAGGACGTCATATTCGTGCGCCCTCTTATTTATACCACTTGTTACGTCACCCTGATTGGACCGCTGTGAAACACGGGAAATTGCGTTTCGTAAAAGACAAACCGTTTATGGAAAAATACAAAGTATTGCTGCAGCTTTTCCTACCATTAATAATAATTATTATTATTATTATTTGTAGAATAATGCTACAACAGGGTAGCAAAATCAAACAAAAATCATGAGATAAAACATGAAAACAATTCAGTGAGCCACTTCAGCAGGGTCTCTGGAGCAGATAAAAGACCTCTGCCTCTCAAACTATCTACTGGCTCATACGGTACTTTTATGGTAAGGGCATAAATGTAACTGGGAAAGGCCATGAAGAGCCTTAAAAGTAATCAGTAAAATTAATTAAATTCTAAAGCTTGCTGGGAGCCAGTGTAAAGAAGCTAAAACAGCTGTGATGTGGTCACATCTCTTGGTTCTGGTTAGAAATCTGGCGTCTGAGTTCTGTATGGTCTGGAGTAATTCATGTCAGTGTTTTTATGTTTATTTTGTATGTATGTATCTGTGTGTGCGTGTGTGTGTGTATTTGGGTTTTTAACCAGGGGAACCTTAAAAAAAGAACACGTGAGCTGATTATGAGAAAATAGGCCTAAGCACAAACAAACAAAAGGCTCCCCAACTCTTCTACATCAAACACTTGACTGAAGAGTCACAAAGCTACAAACAATGCATTTCTTTGTAGTCAATTTGTTTTTAACTGGATCTGTCACTTTCAAACAACAGTAACGGGCACTTCATACAGGTTTCTGGCACAGGGCACCCTGGACCTGTCTTGCAGGCCTGTTCTGTAATCCAGCCATGCATGATAGGTGTTTAACAAGCCCACCCCAATATTTCTAGACTCTGTATGCTTAAAGTTTACTTCTTTTAGGCCAACAAGAAATTGAATGTTAATGCTTCAGTATTTCTCCTCTGAAACTATATTCCTGTCATTGTTGTGAAGGATTTAATATTGCACATAGCCCCTCATGTTGGAAAATAATTTTAAACAGAGTAAATGAAGTTACCTGAATAAATACATTTTGAAAAATCCAAATACTTTAACTGTTTTGAGTTTCTATGGGTGATGGGGTGCAGAGGCCCTCTGTACAAAATATCAAATATATCAAGGATGTTTGTTTAATGTAAGTGCTGGTCTTCTCAACCAGGCTAGTGTCTAGTTTTCAGTCACAAGCCCAATTCAAATTTTGATGAATGAAATGCAATGAGAGTAAAACAACTCAAGAACTGGGATTCATTAATGTTCAAAATGATGACAAACACACACGTATCACTCATCAATCATGTGAATAAAACACAGTCCAAAAACAGAACCACACAAATGATGTCAGGTGGCTTTTTAATGTTTCCAAAAATAGTCTCTGAAAGTGGGATTTGTTTTACAAAAGTATCCATATATTTAACAGGTATGGAATTCTTATGTAAACACAGACTGTCAGACTCAGTGGTGGCACCAGAAGACTGAATGCTGAACCCTTGGCAGAAGTTAGACCATCCACAAGTGAGGAAGAAAATTTCATTTATTTTTTACTAGTTAAATTACTCAACTGGTAGGACCTAAAATGTCAGTTTTAGAAAGTGTTAGCTGAGTAACCTACAGTAGATGCCTAGAAATATACACAATGACTAGTAGGCTTAAGCAAGAGCAGTACAAATGCAGTAATTATGCTGAACTGAACAGTAATGATGACTAATGATATCAAAGTGTGTGAATGTGACACGATACCAGGGTTCAAGATGGGTGTTCAACATTTCTGCCCACGACAAAATAATGCTCATTTCAAAAAGGCATGGCTTCAGGCTTATGACTTCAAGGAAGTTATCTAAATGCCACACAATTACACTGACACAGTATTGTGCATTCATCATCCTTGGCCGCTCTGTCAAACTCATTTTATTTTTCCATATCTTTCACTACAGTTATTGTGGAGAAAGGGACAAAGGCTCAAGATCAGTCAAATAGTCAAGATGTTCCAGTGAGTATATGCCCTTGCACAAAATATCCTCTCTAGCAGCAGAACTGTGCCCACTATTAAGAGAATAAGGCTGTCTCAAGGACAGTGAGATTTACTAGGGACGTACGCGTGTGTGTGTTTTAGGTGGAGTGACAGAATTTAGGAGCAGCATCATCCCAGACTGACATCAGTTAGAATCAGAGGTATTCACAGCGGCTACACCCGCAAGTGCCTCAGACAGCTGGGACAGAAGGATTTGTGACGTCTGTTCTTTGGGTCATCAGAGGTCTGTCAGAATGTCTTGGAGAGAGAATCTATTCTGCAGCTTCAGTCTCCATCGCCTGTCCTGTTGCACTCTCAACGGTCTTTGAGGCCTTTATAAAATATAAGATTCAAGTTAGTGGGAACATTTGGAGCTTGTATTCTTGTTCATTTCATAAAACACGCTGCTCAGTAACTCACCTTCTTTTTCTTCTTCTTCTGAGTCTTACGGCTGGCTGAACTCTGCAGCAAAGCCTTTATGGGGGGGGGCAACACCAACAGTTAATGTAATGCCCTCATGAGGTACAGAGACACAATACATCAACACATAATGGCTTTGAAAATGCCAAGTCAGCCAACACCGTCCTAGAAGCAGTCCCATTAGTCTGAGCCCTTTTTTTAGGCAGAGGATGCAATATCCATCAAACACACTGTACCTTCAGCTCTGGGTCCTCCACCTCATGCTCAGACTTGTAGAGCTCTGGCTCAAAGAGGCTGTTGGTGATTCGCAGAGGTCCATTGGCCATGAGCAGCACGGTGAACTTGAACTGGGCCACAAATTCGCCTGAACACAGACAGGATTGAAAGTTGCATTAACAGTCCCAGTTAACAGGACGGGTGGCATTAGTTAATTGATTAAAATGCTTGGTGACATTGAGACCACGACTTACAATCCAGGCAGTCCAATTTAAACAATACATAAGAGTTTTAATGCTAATAAGACAGCCTCGGACATTAAGAAGAGATTGGCTGAACAACATGAAAATGTCAAAAAAACAGAACAGGCAGTGTGTGCGACCGCTTCACAAGATGGGATATCTACAGTACACACAGTGTCTGAAATGAGCATCCAGTTCACTTTCCTAGCATGCAGATACCCACATGGGTCATTTTATCCAGTTCACTTTAAAGTAAAGTTAACTATCAGCTCTTGGATGTGTTTAACAGGCCAACGTAGTATGGTCCTGAATGGCACTGTGGTAACCCGACAACAAACCCAAACAACAGTTATTGAAACAGCATCAATATCATTTTACAAGTACATTTGAAGTGTTCTGGCAACTGTGAGACACTTTTTTAGATCTCACTTCATTTTGTTCACATGAAAACAAGCTTTCAAGAATATTAATGATCACCAAAGTCCTTAAATGACACTGCTCATTGTTCCACTCACCCTCTTTCTCATGCAGCACATTGAATGGCTGCAGCAGCTCATGTTTGGCACACTCCACCACGCCCAACCTGGCTTTGCCTTCATCCTCAAATGCTCTGAGGAGATGAACAAAGAAGAGAAATGAAGAAAAATGAAGGCGTGGAACTTGGAAGATGATTTAAAGGTAAAATGAAAAGGGGAAAAAAAAAATTAAATATTTGATCTGAAGATGAAAGATACTACCTCAGGGTGAAAGGCATCGTATCAAAGCGTCTCTCCATCTCACTGAAGAATGTCCGAGATGTCTTCATCTTCAAGCCGTACACCTTGTTGGGGTCTCGTTTGTAAACGGTGGTCCTCTGACCTCCATCCTTTGCCTGAATCACAAAACAGAAAATATATTCTTAAATGAATAAATGAAATCTTCGAAAATAAAAATAAATAAATAAAAAAAAATCTAGAGTAAATTTCCTCTCACCTTTCCCTCTCCGGTGCTGATAAGCACATCCACTGCATATACCTCATGCACCTCAAACTCGGCCTTCTCATGGTCCTTTCTACAAAAAAAACAAAAGTCATCCACCGGTTAAAGAGAACACTCATGAGGTCAGTGATAATAAGCAATTGCTGAGTGAACTCACTTTTGCTGGTCCGTTGGATTTTGGATGATAGTTTTCTCCCCATCAATCACATGTTGTTTGAGCTGATGGGACAGCATGCCTGTACACATTGAAGGAATAAACTCAGTCAAGCATGTAAATCACATTCAGCAAATGTATACCAGTGGAATCACAGAGCTTAAAAGGTGCCAAATGTTCGCAAAGACCCACCCTCGATAGGAGAGCACTTGAATGACTTTGCGATCTTGTTCCAGGCTTCTGTGACCTGTGTGTTCTAATAGACGAGACATGGTTATGATTATTCGATGAGGTATTGACAGTTAAGTCTTTAGTCAGATCAGTGGTTATGGTGGTGGAGTTTTACCTGGTTTCCTGGTTTGACAAGGCGCAGGGCAGCCTCAGCACAGAGGTGAGCTGCTTTGATAACGTCAGCCTTCCTCCCCGTCAGCGGGTTCTCCTGAAGTAACACACGAGGCAAGTCAAACAACAACAAAGTATTATAAGCTGTTCATGGTGTGACTTGATGGTCGAGAAAATCACAACTCATGATTATTGAGATAATGATTGAGCGACACAGCCGACGTGTCATTTATTCCAATAGTGATTACATACCTTGGTCACTCCAACAATGAAGCTGTGAGCCACATTTGAGATGAAGCCATCAACATGCACACCCAGGTCACTGCACAGCAACACAACAGGAAAACATGAGATAAAGAAAGTCTGCATGGCACATAAATTATAAACTACAATTTAATGAAGTGCACAGGATAGACAGGTATGAATTCAGCAACTTACATCTTGATAAGGTCCCCATCCTTAAGTATGACATCAGGGTCACTCTTCAGAGGGGAGCAATGGCATACACAGTTGTTAACTGACACACAAGTAGGAAAAGCGATACCTGAGAAAGAAAGAGAGAGAGAGTGAGTGAGTGAGTGACGCAGTGCTGAGTCAGGGACACTGAATGTGACTAATGAAATGCAACAGAAGACTTACCTTTCTTCATGTCTTTTTCCTTCTTGAAGATTTTCCCAGTCTCGGCCATGATAAAGGCATCGCCTTTTTCACACAGGCTGAGTACGGAGACCCCAGCCGTAGCTGCCGCAACTACTGTCTTCAGAGCCTCTGCAGGACAAGAGATAAAAAGAGCCATGATATGTCAGTGACAGAGTGTATATAGTTTTGGACTGAAGCTAATGATTATTTTCATCATCGATTATTATCTATTCTTGTGTTATTTTCTAGATCAGATGATTCATTGTAATAAAAATAAAATCAAAACCTGCAAAAAGCCCAGGTCACATCCTTAAGTTTTTTGTGTTGTCTACCCAACAGTCCAGATGCCATCTATCAATTTCCTCTTGTTTGATTACTCCATTAATCATCTAATCATTTAAGCATGGATAATTGGATCAACATTAACATCAACAATGACTCTTGTTCACTGAAATCAGCTTGAAACAGCATAGTGCTAACAGTAAATTAGATGTCTTAAGATAAGTAGGGAAGCTGTTATAAACTACAATACAAAACCACAAGGACACACACTGTCATTTATGTGAAGCACCACAACAGTATAGGACCTGTGTGTGTTGAGTATGTGGTCATCCTCATAACCTAGAGAGAGTACAGACAATGGCAAGGGGCGAAACACAACCAATCACTGGAAACTGAATGGAAAATTTAAACTGAACTGGAAATTGAATAGAGCTGCAACAATTAGTTGGTTAATCCTTTTAGTAATTTTTTCCCCCCAAAAAGTCCAACAATTTTCTGGTTCCAGCTTGTCAAATGTTAATTTCACTGCTTTGCTGTCTCTCGTATTAAAGTAAATTGAAGATTTTTGAATTTTGTACAGTTTAGGTTGTTTGGTGACCTCACCTTAATCGATTTGAATTTGGATATTCTGAGGCAGTCTTATTAAACAGTTGATGACCTGTTCTCTAACACCACTAACACACAACCTTAGATTCATTTACTTCAAATTAACTGGGGTAAGTTATTTTATGATGGATTTACGATATGTATTTAAACTTTACAAGGCAGGATGGTCAGCTCTTTAATCTCCAGACTAGCAGATAAATTACGACCAAATTCAAAGACTATACTGATCTGGGCAAATGACAGGTGTAAAAGGTAGGCATTGAGGAAAGAGTATGCTTAGCTAGATGACTGAAAGTAAAAACGTATTTATATGTTTAGAATGCAGAAATAATGAAATACTAATGTTCATGGAGCAAACAGACTGTTTATGCTCTTAGTTTTGTTATATTTAGATTAAATGTTAAGTATTCATATTAAAACCACTCCCACCTATGACACCACACTGATGTTACTGAGTGCATGTGGCCTTGCAAATTATAGATTGCATAATATATAGGGTTCAACCACGAGTAATATCAGCATGTTAAGTTTAGGATTCATGTTGGTAACTTTACACTTAGAGTGAGATTTTGTTTCCTTCTGTTCAGTATGATAAATAATTTATTTTTGGCGTAATTTAACATAGCAGAGTACTGGGTGTGTGGACTGGCTTCTGCTTACTTTAAGACCTTAAATTACAACCAGCTCTTTGGTCAACCCCTTATATGACAATTATGTTAGTCTGGATTTCAATAAGCTGTATGTATATATTTAAATGTCGGTTACACTCTACAGGACAATCACATATTGTCATTCAATTTTGTACTTGTCATTGTTATCTGTTACGTTAGCAGTTACAGCTAGCTAACGCTTGCTAGTGAGGTTGCTGATCCACATAGCCACCTAGCTCTCCGGGCTAATGTGACAGCTACATGGCGTTGAACAAATACGGGCTACTATAAATAAAAGCGCCTTCTAATTATTTACGCGAGCCGTGTTTAACTTGTTTTAAACAAAGGCCCGCTCTCTGAAATGACCTGTGGCTGTTACTGCAGCGGCACATGGCACAGCTGCTGCTGGGTATGACTAGCTGACACTGCTAGCTAACATTAGACGGATTCACATACTTGTGGGTGGCTGAGACAAAACCGCTCGTTAATAGCTCGTTTCACTTACGATTCGCGATCTCGGCCCCCATCTTGTACTTGGTGACCACCAAGTCGTCGGCGATGGTCTGCTCCTGTGTCTCATCGTCTCCAGACATGTTGGCAGTGTGTCTGCTAACTCAGAGTAACTTTTTTTTTCTCCCGGCGGGTGTCAGTCACTCACAGGATGGACCACGCTGCTCTCTGCACCGGCCCGCCCGACTTCTACCGGCAGCTTACGATCACTAGATCCCGCCTGCCGCCAGAGACACACTGCGCAGTCAAGATAGTTCACGGCTCAGCCTCGTGCGCTGACTGGAGAGCTGCAATGCCTGTTAACATTCCCAGCAGCCCAATGTAACGTCTACAGAAGCATTGCTTTGTTTGCTATCATATACAACAAAGAAATGCATCAAAGCGTCACGTTAGCCATACTGAAACCAGCAAATATTTGGCATTTTTGTTCGGGAAATTATCGAAACAACTACTCAACTTTCTCTCAATTGACTAATCAGTTAATCAACTAATCACTGCATCTCTAGTTGACTCTTTTACCGTATGTAGCCTACCTGTACCTTATAGAAAGTGAGTGTCACTGTAAATCATGTCAGGCTTTTAAAAATAGCAGTGGTGGAAAATAACTGAGTACATTTATTCAACTACTGTACTTAAGTAGGCTACAAATTGAACAGCTTGTACTATGACTAAAGTAATTCCATTTTATGTTACTTTATACTTTTACTCCACCACATTTCACTTGTAGGCTACTTGTACTTTCCTTTTTTTACTCTACAACCTTTAGCTGATCACTTCACTAACTGGTTACTTTACAGATTTAGATTATATATGAAGCATAGAAATAGATTACAAAGTATGATGCTTTGTCATAGTATGCAACAGTATATACATGAAATGCTGAAACAATTATTCAATTAATTGAGAGGTTGATTGACAGTAAATTATTTGGCATCCATTTTGAAAGTCATTTTTTCATGTAACAATTCCCAACGTCTTCTCAAATGTAAGGACATACCTGTTTATTCTTTTATATTTAATAATAATTTGAAAGTTTATGGTGTTGGTTGGACAAAATAAGCACTGCGAAGGTGTCACTGGGTAATTGTGATGGCATTTCTGATTATTCTCTGAATCTTTACAATCCAAACAACCAAATCAATCAATCAATTCAGAAAATAATCAGAATAATCCGTAATGAAATGAGTCACAGTCAACAGGACAGTCTGCTAATGTAGAGCTGCTAATTAATGAATTTTGTCTTTATTACATTTATCAAGGGTCATAGAATCCAAAATGACTGTTCAGATAAAAAGACAGTCATGCATTATAAAATAGTAATGTCTTATTTGTTGTCTTATATGTTTCAGGACGAAATAGAAGAAATAAGGTCAAGATTTGGAAAATGTGGAAATGTGGATATGAAATGTATAAACCAGTATCACAACATGAATAATTGAGTTCACAGAGTTCACATTACTCTCTGGTGTAAAGTGCACCTCTCAAGTAAGGACATTTAGAAAAAGGATTTACTGAATGCTCTGGTAAACCCATTAGTGGATTTGAACGAAAACGGAACAACAAGGAAGTGAATCTCTCACTCCTCTGATCATCTTTGATCTGCCTCTGACCAAATCGCGCGCGAGTGTGTCACTGATGCGTTCACATGCCTCCATCTCATCTTTCTACTGTTCACTGTCACTATAATTGTATTCGATTCTGGAGATGTGCGTCGTGTTTGTTTGCGTTATTTAATGACACACGTCGATATAAAAGCTATAAATAAACAGCTAAAATAAATGAATGAGTGTTTTTGATACAAGTCGATATTTTATTGTTTTATTTTATAAACACACAAGACAATGTAAAAAAAGACAGCTCTATACAAATCACAAATAACTGCATAATTGCAAAAATAATCATATTTATTTGTTCACTTAATAATTCACGTTAAAATAAATTGTACAAAAAGACTGCTTAACAGAAGTGGGACTGGAAATTATTGTAAAAGTGAAGCATGTGATGTAAAGGAGTCCTGTTGTAATGTAGTTCATGGGCAAACACCACATTTTGCCTGCTATAGCCTTTATTTTGTTGTTCTGTACCAATTCACAGTTCACTGACTTCCGTTCACTTACTGCACCAAAAACTGTGAATGAGATTCATAGGTGCATTTCTTTTATAACTTTTACTCTTCAAATCTTGTTGGATGTTGGAACTAAAAAAAAGGCTGTAAAAAATTACAAAACTAAGAAAGTTTATGACAGGAACTGAAGTAACAGCAGCAGTTACTGTGTCTCTGTCCCAGTCCACATTATTAGGTGCGTACAGCATCTGGCTTGAGGAACAGTCTGCTGTGCCAGTAGTCTGGGTTGTCAAAGGATGTGTTGCTGCCAGGTTCCCCCATGCCAGCACACACCTTGATGTATCCCCCGATCCCTGCACACCTGCCAGAGCCCACCTCCTCAGAAACAGCCCTCCCCTTCACCGGGAGGTTCTGGTAGTCAGCCTGCTCCCACCCACTGGGCACCACTCCAAATCTGGTCATCTCCTCATACTCCACCTTTTCTCCCCCAGCTGTGAGCACATCTGGCCTGGGCATGACCATACTGCTCAGATTCCCCTGATGTGAGGGTTGTTTGTTTGTGTTGTGGTACTTGTGATCTTCCTCTTCTTCCTCATGCTCTTTTTTCAACACCTCCACTATTTGGTCTGTTTCCTCTGTCTCTGCTGCACTCTTTGCAGATGTTTGACTCCCACGTCTCTCCCATGCTGGACCCTCTCCCTCCGTAGAGTTAGAGCGCCTGATATCCATGTATTCATACCTGCCCATCCCTTGGGCTGCCTCTTCTTGGTCTTCCACAGCTCCGATCACTCTCTCACAGTCCCCAGGTAGCTGATGTTTGTCTGTGGAGGAGCTTTGCTCTGCTCCAGTTCCCTTACAATCCTCACTTACTTGTTTACTCCTTACAGCTAAGATTGGTGTCTGTGTTTCCACATCTGCTGCGTCCTCTACAGGTAATGAAGCCATGAAAGTCCGAGAAGGTAAAGGTGAGGTTTTACTGCAAAGTGCCACCGAAGGGGCAGCTGCCTGAGATGAGACACCTCTGGCTGAGCAAGGAGGAGACTCTTTAGTCATGATTTCATACTCCTGGGAAGGATTTATCACCACAAGGGACAGATTATTCTTCAGTCTTGAATTTCTTCGGCCAGAATGAGAAACTCTAGAGACTATGAGCCATGAAAAAATGTGAAGAAGGAAGAAGATAAGGGAAGAAGAAATCTTGATTATATTTTGTTTATGGCATAATTTATAAGTTTCAAGTTTCAAAACACAGAAAAACAACAAATAATGGGACAAGTCTGCATGCTCCCGTTTTAGTTCTGACAATTTACCTCTCTCTGGAGTCCCAGGTGACCCTGGCAGGACGTAGCCATAGTGGTCCACCTCTTCCTCCTCCTCTGCCGTCCACACCTTGTATGAGGATGGGCTCGATGCTGTTGAAAGCTTCCTGTGCCGGCTGATGGATATACGAGGATTTCCCCTCTCTGAGCCAAATCTGGCCCTGTGAAGGCTCCCAGTCTGCAAACCTTCCTCACGCAGCTCGGCCTCTCTGCCACTCCCCCTGACCTCCGAACTCTCAGGCAGTGTCCGCACCGAGCTCAGACGAGACCTCTGAAACCACAGCTGAGACAGAAAAGCAAAGACTTGTGCAACAGTTCATAGAAATGAATCCTCTTATTTTCAAAGTGGGACCAGCTGGACCTGAATGACTCATTGCAATGTGTCTCACTTCCTGAGGTAATAACCTACCGTCAGTGCTGGGTTTTGTAATGCTGATTTCAATATGGCTATTGGCAAAGTGTAGCAATAACTCTGATTAAAATGAAGCTGTTGAGAGTTACAGCTAAATATATCTACTTTATCACCTGTGCAACGCAAGCATCAACCGACATCAGTGTTAGCGGGTGGGAATGTGTTTGTTTGCGTGCATGTGTGCGAATGTGTGAGTCTGTCACACCTGGCGGATGCTGTCCACAGGGCTGGGAGTCATTGGCAGATATCCAATAGGTCCAGCCTGAGAGCTGCCACTCTACAAATCAGGGGAGAAAAAGTGCCATGTACAGTTTTATTTGCCTCTGATTCTCTGAAGATGATCCTGAAACAGACTAAATCTACAATCTTTCCCATTACCCTGTAAGAATTAATCCGTGAGCGCGACAGACTCCAAGATGGAGAGTGTTGAAGAGGAGGAGTAGCCAAGCCATCCTCCAGCCCCACCTCATCCTGGTCTTCTAAATCTGCGTCCAGAAGTCCTCGCTCTGATTCTCTTCGATGGATTTCGACAGAGGACGGTTCTCCTCCTTCCATCTACAGAATAACATTGAAGTACAGGGTTTAAATAAATGAGCGATAACCTCACCTCAGTGGTGGAATGTAACTATGTAATCAAGTACTGCCTTTGAAGTAGGAATTACTTGAGTATTTTGATTCCACGTCACTTTGTACTTCACTACAATTCAGAGGGATATTTTTTAACCACCTCTTTAACTGCACTACATTTATTTGACGGCTGTAGTTGGTTCTTACTTTAACAATTAATTGTATTAAAACATATGAAGTGGTTATAAAGTATGACACACTGTTATAGATCAAACCGTCCAGCAGTAGATAATGTCAGAGCTGAGATGATTAGTTTATGAAACCATTAGTCTGTCGGCAGAAATGTACAACTGTTTCAATAACTAAATAATTATTTGATTAATTTTTCATGCGAAACTGTCAAACGTTTCCTGGTTCCAGCTTCACACCTGAGGATTATTTTAGGGCCTTATTACAGTCTGCTGAATCATTTTGAAGATTGACTATTGGTCAGTCAGGGGAAGATGTTTAAAGGTGTAATTTTGGCTCGGGGTTATTTTGATCAGCTTCACTGTTTTCTGAAGTTTTTTACAAACCAAACAATCAATCAGTTGAGAAAATAATCAGCCGATTAATCAATACTTCCGGCACCACTGCCTCACCTTGATGACGAGGTATCTAGGCGGGTCTCTTGCCATACGAGTAAAGTCACTGGCCAGCTCTTTGAAGGTCGGCCTTATATTTTCATCAATCATCCAACCTGAAGAGAAGAAGGAAAGTCATGCAGATCGGTCAGTCTTTGTGCACACCTGCGCGTACTGGTGCAGTGTTTTTTTTTTTATCACACTCACATTTGACCATGACCATGTACACGTCTATGGTACAGATGTGGGGCTGCGACAGACGTTCGCCCTTCTCCAGCAGACTCGGCACCTCCTGAGGCTGCACGGACGCATACGGCTCCGCCCCAAATGACATCATCTCCCACACTGTCACCCCTGTCCCAGAAGAGAGACGACACCCTTTACATTCTCTCTGCCAAAATTCACTGACGGGGAAATTGATTTATCAGTACATACTGTACAATGCTGCACACGCTCACACAGCCTCTTACCATAACTCCAGACATCGCTTTGATGAGTGTATCTTCGAAACAAGATACTCTCAAGCGCCATCCATTTTATGGGCGTCTGGATTGGGAGACAAATTGCAGACAAGCCATACAGACTGATTTCCATTAGTGGAAGACACGGTGAAAACCTCTTAACTGTGACTTAACAATACAAAGTGTTTCTCGAAATGAATGTGTCCAAACAACCTTGGTGTCAGTGTAGACGTATTTCTTGTCATCAGGGTAAAGGAGGTCCGCCACACCGTAGTCAGAGATCTGGACCTGGTAGTCATTCTTCAGCAGGATGTTGCGGGCAGCCAGGTTCCTGTGGACCATGCAGTGTTCTTCCAGGTAGTACATACCCTGAGACACAAACATGTAGCTTTGAATATACTCAGCTTATTCATAACAGCTGGCTGCTTTAAAAAAAAAACAAAAAAAAACTTTAATTGCCGCTACACTCACTTTAGCAATCTGCACACACCAGTTGAGCAAGCGCTGGGGGTCCAGGCTGTTCTTGTGCTGCCTGATGTGCTCCAGTAAGGACCCCTGCGAACTGAGCTGGGTCACCAGCTGCAGACTGGCACCTGGACAGATGCCCAGCAGCCTAACGATGTAGGGGTGGTCCAGGCTGCCCATGGACAGCATATGCTACACAGAGACCAAGATGACATACAGCAACACTAAGTATTTTTTGTGATACATATATTTTGTGGTATGTATTTTGTCTGGAAAAAAAATCTCACCATTATTTGTAATAGGCATCATTTTACAACATGAAAACATCTTCCTCTTACATTATATGTCACATTAACTGCTATTTCTGAGATGTTTTTTTTTTTTCAGGAGTGTACAAGGGGCCGGATTCTCACATCAGTGATCTCAGTGAAGGTCTGTCGGCCTGAGCTGTCCTGGATGGTCTTAATGGCCACAGGGATCTTCACTGTCTCTCCCTCTGGAGTCCAAAATCCCTTAAACACAAATGAAATGTGCAGCTGCAGTCACATCAGTCCTCATGAAGTCTGTGAAACTTGTGTTAGACTGAGACTAAACCTATAATAACACATGGTTTGGTGGCTCATCAGTGAATATCACTACCTTGTGCACTGTGCCAAAAACGCCAGAACCAAGGGCTTTGATTTTTTTCAGCTCCGACGGCCTCAAGATTCGGGCATGAACCTTTGTACCTTTCTCTCCAGGACCCAGTGGCTCAAAGCTCTGCCAAAAAACGACAGTTATTCCCGGATGATTTGTTTTCTCTCTCTCTCTCTCTATCTCCCCCCCCCCCTCTCTCTCCCTCTCTCTCTCTCTCTCCGAAAACAAATACATGCAGCAGTCAAATCAAAGGCAGCTCACGACAGCTCATGGGGTTGGATGGTCTCTAAAGTCTCACCTCTCCGCTCTCCAGGTACCTCCGCATGGCTCTCTTGCGACGGATGGCCAGGCCTCGGTGGTACAGCACACCCAGGAAAAACAACACCAGGCAGAAAATCAAGCCAGCCGGCACACCTAAAGCTATACCTGTGATCTGACCGCTGCAGAATGAAGCAGAGAGAGATGAAAACGAGGGGACACACGGTGAAAAGGTCAGAAATTGGGGTAAGAAAAGACTATGATCTGATATGATCTGACTTAGTTTTTGTATTTTTACTTGAATATCCTTCATGAAATGTCTGATTACAACGGAAACACCGGGCCACAGGTTGCAGTCAGTTTACACACGTTGCACATTGCAGCTTAGTCATTAATATTCACCAGCAGGGGGCAACACTCACCTGCTAACAGCCAGTCTTGCTGTCTCTAAACAGTCATTTAATCCTGGGCCTGAGCATCTGAAACACACAAACATCATAATCTTCAATCAATCAATCAATCAATCAATCAATCAATCAAAAACTGATTAAAAACTGAATAAAAATGAAGACAAAATAGTAAAGATAAAATAAAGAAATGATGAAAGAGAGGGAATGTTTGGAAGTGAGTAAAACTAGAAATAAAAGTAGAAATAAAATAAATAACCAGAAATAAAAGTAAGATATTAAAAGGAAAATAACCAAGGAAGTGATCATAAGATAAAAGGGCAAACAAGTAAAACAGCTCAAAAAATATAGAAATATATTGAAAAATAAATGAATAGATTAATAAATGAAAATAAATAAAATTCAACTAAAAGCCAGATTAGAAAGGGTAGATCTTGAGTTTGCTTTGAAAAATATCAACACTTTCTGCTGCCCTCGGGTCTTCAGGGAGGCTGTTTGACGGACATGGACCACTGTAATAAAAAGACGCCACACAGTGGGTTTTCATTCTGACTTTATGTTTAATTAATTACAAGAAGAAGACCTGAGGACTGTAGACGGTTCATAGGACAAAAGCAAATCTGATAAATAAGTACGACTCAGACCATTAAGAGCTATAAAAATCAATGAAAGGAACAGGGAGGGTCACTTCAGCACTCGTAGACTCATTACTGTGACACGTGGATGGAAAGATGAAAATACACACATGTACTTTAAAGCCTGGTCTCACCCCTGTGTGCAGTTGTGGTGACATGGTTCACAGTGACCCTCCCTGTTGGGGTATTTGAAGATCAGCCCCTTCTGTCCATCGTTTACTCCAGTGGGACAAGAGGACATGCAGTAAGGACCGTCTCGAAGGTTGGCGCACGCCACACACTCATCTGCACCCTGCCAAAGAGAGAGAGGAAGAGAGACAGTATCTGAAACAGACTGAGTAACTCTACTGGGAGGCAGCTTTGTAACCTGAAACCAACCAAGGCATAGTAGAAGACACTATCTCTGTGTAGCTTTTATAGTTTCCAATCCTTAAATCAATTATTACCATTGGCCATTATTAATAACAATTTGTAAGGTAATGGGAACGAATGGCAGAAAGTCAATACCTAATTTCTTAATGAGGTGGAAGATGTCACAAGGGCATCAAAGGTTTGAAATTGTTTATTGATTCATGTCAAATTTCTTTCACTAATTCAGACGCCCATCATTGTGTGGTCAACAATTTCCTTCTAATGCAAAGCAAAGAGTAACTCACTCCTGAACATTATTGGCATTATGATACATTCACACTCTGATATAATAGAACTGTTAAAACCTGTAGAATAAAAAGCTTGTAGAATATGATTCAAAGCTGATAGAAAAAACACAACTGAAGCAACAAAACGACAAACTAACGCCAACTACAAACTCTTTATCTGGAAACAAACTAACATTTAACACCTTGACGTGCTTTCTAAAGTTGGACAGCACGTTTCTGTAGGTAGCGATGAATGTTGCTCATGTGAAACACGTGTTAAAAACATTTAAAACAAAATGAATCTTTATTTGATTTGAAAAATGTAAACATGGACTAGAAGAATCTTTAGAATCATCTTTATCTAACGTGGCCAACTGAGCTGTTCAAACATGCAGCAGCACAACGTGACTGACAGTGGAGGAGTTGGCTGTGATTGGTTTTTCTCCTGTGATCAACACAGTGTATGGTCCATCACATTTTCAAAAGATTCATTCCTCTGACTAAAAGCTCTGCTTCACAGTAACAAGTACTTCACTTCAGAAATGTAGTAGAGTCAAAAGTACAATATTTGTAGTTTAAGTGTAAGTGTAGTGGAGTAAAAGTCATAAGTTTACAAAAAAAAAAATACTCAAGTAAAGTACAGATACTCAAAAAATATACTTAAATATAGTACTCAAGTAAAAGTACTTTGTTACTGTCCACCCCTGGTCGTGCCCTCCACAAGATTTCGAGTGGGTAAATGGCCAAATGCCAGCAGGAGTTGATACAAAGACCCTGAACCTTTGTTTTGTTATTAAATGAAGTTATTACCGGTCCGGTGCAGCTGGCTTTCCCATGCTGAGGCCTACACTCCGGATGACAGGCGACACACTCGCCATCAGGCCCTGCAAATTCTCTCGGAGCTCTGGGGGCACAATTTTCAAAACATACACCGTTAGACAACAGCAATGGATCCATCACACAAACAACAAACAGGCTCATGAATATCAGCTCATATCTACTGACCCTGTGTAAAAATTACAGCTGCCCACACATCTGCCGTCTCGGCTGTAGTCCCTACAGGAGAGACACTGGTCAGGCCCCGGGCCCCAGCAACCTGAGTCTGAACATAGTGGGTCGCACACATGGCCCTCTGCAACTGCGCACACAGCGATGTAAGAAACAGCATCAGCAACACAACAATGATTCTTACATGCCACTCAAACTAACTCAATGGGAAGATACAAGAAGATAATGAAGAATTAATCTTCTGATTTGTGTAATACAGAGAGACTCATAAAAGCCATTGATTACTTAATGACTGACATATGTGCACAATTAGTTCACTTTAAAAAAAACATTCAACATTTCATTTGGAACACAGAGGATATTTTGTTTCTGCCGGACCCCGAGCTCGCCTCACCACACTCTGCCAGCGGCCTGTTGTTGTTGAGGTTGTTGACTCGAACTCCGCGGCCTCTGAACATCTGCGTCCAGTTTACAGTGTGGTGGTAACAGAGGTTGGCGTTCTGACTGATGTACACGCTGCCATCACTGATCTCCCGGAGGGAGCGCAGGCCCAGCGAGGTAAGAGTGGAGATGTGCATCACCATCAGAGAAAAACGCCTTCGGTTTGAAGGTTGGAGGATGCAGACAAAAAGAAAAGAGGCAAAGAAAAAAATGATTTGAAACAACATTTAATATTTGAAACGAATAATAAAAACACTTTGTTTCTGCAAATTGTGTTTGATTTCTAAGCAAAATGACGTGCAACAGTTTGGATGTTGGCGTTATAGGGATCACACACGTGCACACACACACGGTCCACACCTCTACACAGCTGTGAGAAGAGGGAGGTTAGAGAGTGTAGACTCAATGCACGGGGGGCTCGTCATGAGGTGTTAACATGGAGGGTGTAGAGTGTGGAGTAGACACATGGTTATGCTCCGCGCTGAACATGTGATACAGATACAAACAGCAGAACCAGCCTGAGGCATGAGGTCGGTGCTTCAAGCTAGATTCTGTTCATTATTCTTCTTGATTAAAGTCCTAATAAATCATAAATGGTTTTAGTTCTGTTCAAACATCTGCTCCTTCCATATAAAGGTAAGTCCTGCTAACGGATTATTTACATTTATCGTTATTCTCTGAACTGATTTCAGCTTCCTCTGGGCAAACCCTGACTGACACACATAGACTATCAACATTCACGTCATTTGCACTGTCACATGGCGTGTAAACAAGCCTCACTTGTAGAGCGACCTCCCCTGGATGGTAGTGAGGCTGGAAAAAACGGACAGATCATCCAGCTCTCTGGGCCACGACTGGATGTTTAGAATATCTGAACAGAAAGCACAGTGATAATATCAAACATGATTTAAGGAGCATATAGTATAATGTTGTGCACATATCTTCATACCATACCTCATATACTGCTCTTTTGTACATTTCTGTAAATATTGAATTGTACATATTAATATTATTATCTATCATTTATCTTTCTAAGTATTTGTTCCTGTCATTTTGCAGTTTTTATGCCTCCACTCCGGTGACAGTCAGAGCCGGAGGCATGTTGTTTTCAGGTTGTCCGTCCGTCTCATTCTCGTGGACATGATATCTCAATAACACCTTGATGCAACTTCTTTAAATTTGGCACGAACATCCACTCTGACTCAACAACGAACTAATTCGATTTTGAGAGCGAAAGGTCAAGTACGCGGTGACCTCACAAAACGCGCTTTTGGCTTTGTGAATGCAATATCTCTGTAACACCTTGAGGGGATTTCTTCAAATTTAGTAAAAACGTTCACCTGGACTCAAAGACAAACTGACTAGAGTTTGGTGGCTAAAAGTCAAAGTTCAAAGGTCAAGGTCACGGTGACCACACAAAACATGATTTTGGCCTTGCGGACTCGATATCTCAAGAACTCCTCAAGGGAATCCCTTCAAATTTGGCTCACATGCTCACTCAAGGATGAACTGATTAGACATTGGGGGTCAAAGGTCAAAGGTCAAGGTGACCTCAGAAAATATTTTTTAGCCATTACACAAGACTTCACACAGAAATTGTGACACAATTTCACACAAATCTTATCTCAGAAGACAACGTTGTATCCAGGACTTATTTCTCTTTAATCTGTGTTCATTTATAAAAGCAATGTCTGGCATTATAGTAAAATGGAAAGAGGGAAACCAATCTAAAACCTAATGGTACACTTTATAAAATGGTTGAATGGTAAAAGTATTATTTGCATTTTGTAGTTGAGTGTGCTAAAACACACAAAACCAACACCAAGCATTGTGATTCATTACAATTTAACATCAACAAACTTTACTGTACGCACAAACCTGTTATTTCTCTGACGGTGCGGAACACCTCCAGCTTTTTGGCATCTAGGGGTGGGATCTTTTTGAAGTCATCTCTATGAAGAATAAAAAAACACAATATGAACCTGCTGACTGTGAACGGCACTATGATCTGAGATTCCTCAGGCAGGCCTGACAATTACCCAAGAATCCCTGTGACCAGAAAGTGAAGACTGCCCTGGATCTTGGTGCAGTTGATGAAGCTGTCAATGTTGCTGGAGTCCACGGTCTGTCTGTGTTCAGCACCTGTTCCTTCACACACTGCAGGGAAGACCCAACCACAACACTGAATTTGATGATTGCCAAATAAAGTCGGTGTAAGTTCACAGAAAGTATTTATCAGTGTCGACCTTTTGGGCAGAGTCCGCTGCAGAGCTCGCACTGCCTCTGGCCCTCTCTCTCCACCTCCATCTTGTCTGGAGGACAGACGCTCACACAGGAGCTACCGTCCACCACAAAGTGGGCTTGAAGAAGAAAGAAAAGAGAGACACGGGAGGTAGATTTCAAGACAGAACAACTGGCAACATTCAAGAAACTGAGCCCATCTTTTCATGTGTTACAGTGTCACTGAGACTAATAGGACAAAAAAATCAGCAGTTTTCAAGTTGCACAAAAAGAATAACAACAGAACAGGCTGAGCATACAAACACACAGGAGCTACTCACTGGGGCACTGAGAGACGCAGATGGATCCGTACTGATATTTTGCATTAGGGTTGGTCTCCATTTGAAACGTCTGCTTGTTATAGATCAGAGTCTGGGGACACTGAGGCACACAGGCTCCGGAGTCATTGAAATGACGGCATGCCTAAGCAGGTACACACACACACAAACAAACACACACACACACACACGCACACACACTTGAGCAATGGATCACTTCACTAGATGAGATTTCCATTTGAAAACAGCTATGCTACGACTGCAGTCAATTATTTGTAACTAAAACTTTGCATGTTTTCACTCCAAGCATGTAAATCCTGTCATTGTACAAATAATTTGTTTAATTTGACGTCTGGCTGCTCTTCACAATAACACTATAAAAGCTTGTATGTTGATGTACAGACTGAAATAATCTTTAATCTAAAAATGGCCTCCAGAGGATGAATGTTGGAGATTTTGGTGATGCCCTGACATTTTTAGTTTTGAATTAAATGGCACCCTTGGATTTTAAAGTCCTCTGCCATGAACTGTTGTGTTCACAAGCTACGAGAAATAACAACTCAGGAGACTAAATCTAATGTCGCAAAAAAGATCATTTCAGTTCTGCTGCTCTTAAAAGTCGGATGCACCAACAAGAGAGAGAGAAAAGTTCATATGCACAAAGGTATTACCACAGGTTGGTAACAATTAGCAAAAAAAAAAGAAAAAAGAAGTGGGTTGAGTGTCTGTAGTATCAAGTGTGTGCAAGGGGACTTCCACATCACTCTACAGTTTTACTGTAACACAAACCAACAGCTGCCTGGAAGAAAGGAAATAAATCAAAAGAGTGTGTGGTTTCTAATTGATAAAGTATAGATAAAATCCGCGAGTTTGATCCTTAAGGACTTTTAAGTGTGTGTATTACGATAGAATCAAATGTGATTGGAAACATCGAATTGGACTAAAAATAGACAAAACAAGGCAGTGTGGAATGAAACCCTCGATAAACCTACACTTTACTATCTACAAAGACTGTCTGTGTCTTTATTTTATTAACAGATTCCTGCAGAAAGACGAAGACAGAGCACTTACAAAGCAGTCTACGTCCAGAGGGCCTTTACATCCTGCTGCACACTCTATGTGACAACAGTCCCTGGGGCTCGTCCCAAAACAGCGGCCGTTACACTGAGGAGCGCACACCGTCTTAGTCACTGAGGCACACAGGAGACACGGGTTGAGCAGAGGTCACCACTGTGCATGTGTTGTGTTGTGTCTTTGTGTGTTTGTGTGTGCATCCTCTTCTGTCTCTGAAGAAAGACATTCAGTAAAGAGAGGGAGGGAGGAGGAGCAGAGAGAGAGAGAGAGAGAGAGAGAGAGAGAGACAGAGAGAGAGAGAGAGAGAGAGACAGAGAGAGAGGAGTGGTAAAATGGAAACAGAACAATTGGGCACTCACAGATCTGACATTGGTCCTTATTTGGCCCCCAGCAGTAATCTCCGCACGATTTGTGGCATGGGCCTGAGAGAGAGAAAGAAAGAGAGGACTCATAAGAAAGAGACAATCTAAAGATAATTTGGGATATGTGAAGCAGGGCTATCCCAACAGAAACCTCTCTCTCCATTGTACTGGATGTCAATAGGAGCACTGTTGTCCCTGATGATATCTTGCCAGAAGATCCAGGGGCCATAACTCAGGTACTTGTTGTTGATAATCTGCACTCCTCCCTCCAGGATCTCTGTGAATAAAAGGGTGAGACAAGAAACGAGCCATAAGCGGAAAGGATAAAAGCAGACAGGATATTCTTGACACTTTAGATTACAGCCTACAGCTTGCAGTGTAAATATTTATTAGCCTGAATACTGGGTAAAATATCATAATACTTAATGGCCAATATGAGGGACCTAGAACTAAATTACCCTATTTTGATTGTAGTACATATTAAATTATTGCAAGATACAGACAGGAAGCAACCGGCTAAGCGTACATGTCCTTTTACAAAAGTTAATTGGCACCACAGGTTCTTTCCAACATCATTTTTGATCTACAGACGGATATTACATTAGACCTCAAAACTGCACAATTCCCCAGTTTTTTTCTCTCCCATTGTAAACATGTCTATACTATAGCTATAGCACTAACATCCTTATTCCCAGACTAATGTTTTGTTCCCCAGCAACACCAATGTAACCTTCACCAATTATAATAAGTACTGTGTATTTAAAAACTTTTTTACAATGTAATTTCGCCAAACTATTTTTTCTACCCATTTTCCTAATGTACCCTATAATTATAAAGTAGGTCAGTAATTTAAAAGTACTTACAGAGAAATCTAGCTCCTCTTAAACACAAAATTGTTGCCCCCTTATTCCCTAATCTCTTGTTCTGAAGGGTCAAAAGGGTCAGTAGTATTTCATTCATACTCCATATATGTACTAAACAATTATACTGTATATGAGGGCTGTAATCTAAAGCACGACTGACATTACAGTTATCTGTCTTTCTACCTCCAAGAAGCTGCAGCACACTGGAAAAGCCTTCCCCCTGCAGCCCCTGACAACACATCTGGACATTCATACAGTGCATTTTATTGGGTCACTAGACAACAGTTTTCAGTCTTGGAGCTTGAAGGTTCATTACATTGGTATCGTATAGTTTTATAGTGTAGTTTTCAGTCTTCCTTAACTTACTCTCTCCACAAGGTGTGAAACACGCGCATGTCTAGGTGACGTTCACTCATTCTCACCAATGTTATTTGGGAACTGTATGAAGGTTATGTGGGGGAAGAGTGGATTTAATGTCAGTATTTAGTACATTTTATTTTACATTTCACTTGTGAGTGTTATTCTAAATGAAAATAAAGTCAGATAGTCATATCAAATAATGATTATTTATTTTTGTTATTTGCTGGGTGAAAATATTGCATTTCTCACATCCATAATGACCTACAGAGGTGGCACATGTGGCCGATTCACTGATTCTGTGGCAGTAATAACTGTGTATTTAGCAGCTCGTCACTAAAAAAATATAGAGTGGCTGAATTTTCATGGCCATGAATATAAAGTCAAGGGGATGGTCCAAAAGGATATTAACAATGCTCTGGAAGGATTTGTTTTTATTATATAATGAAGGAAGGGAGACTAAAACTGAATCCCTGCACTCCTTGCAATACATCACCGTGTCTAGTTTTTATACTGCGTAACAAGATATCAGGACAATGAGCTACAGCTGAGACTGTGATTTCCTCTACATATTTTCTTTATTTTGTCTTTCTGGGTTTTCAAAGAATGAATAACAACCAGCTATAATTATCTGTCTCTGCCCATAAAATGGTTATTTTATATTTCTTTCCACAACAAACCTTAAGACGAAGTTTACTTCAAGGAACAGCAGGACGCGCATTTGTCTTGTTGGTGTTATTGAGTTCATGTGCCCTTGTTCTCACTGACTCAGTAAATCACAGACAAAACACCCTTTAAATCTTGTATATATAGGACATCTTTTTCTGTTTTGCTGTCTCTAATGTCTCATCCCCCTCTAACCCTCTTCACCTGTCAGGTTTGCGAGCCCCAGCTGCCGCAGGCCGTTGGAGCCGTCCTTGGGGTAATTGAAGAATACCGAGAGGGCAAAGCGCCTTTCATACAGGCTGTTTCCTCTGATGATCCGTAGTTGCCCTAAAGGAATCTCCTGAAAGTGGTTCATAACAATGAGGACGTAACCAGTCACGTCGCGGATTGTCTGGAGGGGAGAAGGGGATCATCAGCATGAAACAAGGGGAAGATAATTTGATGTACTCCACATGCAGAGTGGGAGCAGTTGTACAATCAGATGAAAGAGAAAGGAGTGAGGAAGGATAGTGTTCACCTTGAGGAAGGAGAAGTCCCAGTTACTCTCGATCTGAGTGATCTCCAGGTTTCCCATGATGATCTCACAGCCATCATACCGGTCTTTAATCAGGTTGTACTGATGCTCCTGAGAGCCTGTGGAGCTCAGGCCGTTCTGCGTGCCAGGACACACCACTGACACAAGGGAAGAAAGACACCTGTTACTCCAAGTTTGAAGAGAAACTGCAGATTTAAAGGACAGGTTCATGTTGTAAAGATCCATATTGTCTTTCATTTTCCTCTTCCTTTCTTCACCCACCTCACTTCCTTTCCTTTCCTTATCACTGATTGGCTCTTGCTTTCACCCTTACCACCCTTCATTTACCTGATTGAGCTCACCTGGGCACTACAAGATTATTTAAGGGCTTCACTCCACTCATTCACTCTTTTTCACCTTCGCGTGGAGCAGCAGTTCCTGGTAAGAGAAGTTTGTAACTCTTTAGTCCTTACACTTTGTCTCTTAGTCTCTGAGAACTTTCTTTATCCTTATTTCTTGAAGAAGTACATAATGAGACTACGATTTGTTGAGTTAAATTCAATCTTTACTCTTTATTTGTCCTTTCAGAACCAGCAGCACATGTGTCTTTTCCTTTCCATGTTTGAAACAATTATTTGAGAATGAACCTTTTTGTTGGATTGGATTGATGTTTCATGGCCTTTGTTCTTACCATGCATCCTGACCTGATGCATGGAATCTGTCTTAAATAACACCCAAATGCCCATACATGTTCCATCTGTCCATACTGGCCAAAGAAAATCATTTAAGGTCATTTCAATGTAAGTAAAGGGGGACGAAATCCACAAGCCTCATCTTGTGTAAAAATGATTACTGACATTCAGCTGAAGGTGATAGGAGTTCTGATAAAAATGGCTATCATCCGAAGTCTTTTAGTGAAAGATTCCCTCCAGAGGGATGGTAACACAAAGTGGGAATTTTGTACTAACTCAGGCTGCTTAAGCTTCATGATAGCTTCAGGGGAACTTTGGACACTTTTACGCAGTAAACTTACACTGACGGTCTCTTTGTGGATGGAACTAGAGCAAACCAAAACTCCTTCATGGGGAGGTTGGTATTGTTTTAAGACAGACTTGAAAGAGTGTGGAGCCTATCCTTTAAGGGCTGGTGAGAAGGGAAGGCAATCCAACTTCAGACCCCCCCCCCCCCCCCCCCCCATTTAGACTATAAAGACATTGTGGGTCAGACCATCACCTACATGTTAAAAGCACCATGCCAGTGGCTTTACATGTTTTAGTCCAGATGACATACATTTTGCATCCTCATTCTCATCCTGTCAACTGTGCAGAATGTTTTGGAAGTAGTTTCAGACAGCCATTGGTTTCCATTCATGAAAATCAATAAGCAGACTCTTGAAACTTTTGAGTTGTGTAATCCACCACAGTGAAATCAGTGTTATCATTGCAACATAATGCAGAGACTTTTTGAATCAATATCCACTTAAACTCCATCATGTAACTATAATTAGATTTTACCATGCAGAAATGAATGGAAACCAATGACAGGCTAGAGTGGTGGAGAATGTATCTGAATAGTTGGGAGACAATTAAACTATATAGTATGATCCTTTTTAAAGCTGGACAAATGGAAAATGTCTGACCGGCAGGGTTGCACTGTTTCTGCAGTGTTTATGGCTTTAGCGAGTCTCCCTGGTGTATGTGTGAGCGTGCGTGCGTGTCCGCGTGTGTTGCTGTGTTTCTGTGTTCCCTGCAGAGTTTGATGTGAGGCAGGGTAAAGCAAGCAGGCTCTAACCCCACTACATGAAGCAGTATAAGCCTGGGGCTGATGGAGAGGAGGCCGAGGGTCGAGGGAACAGGGCTTTTCACAGACAAAGTGCCTCATTGTGATGAAGCTATAAATGTGGTCAGTGTGTCCCAGTGAGTGAAGAGTGATGCAGTGACAGACAGTGCTTCTGTGTGTGTGCATGTGCGTACGTGTGCGTCTGAGGGGTCTGCATTGCTGAGATCATACCAAAAAACAATGGGCCATGTGTGAGCTGGACACTCTGGCAGAGAGAAGGGAAATATCGTGAACGGAAGGAGACATACACACCATCTCGTACTGACCAACAAAAAACTGTGGCACAGGCCCTTCATGTGCAACAGTTAGGCACCTGCAGCAGTAAGCACCATTCATATTTCCTGTCTTCTCTGCGAACATGTGGAGATATAAACCAGAATATTCCTGCTTTACTAAACATAAACAACATTTGAGACTTGCTGCTTGTGTTGTTATGAACAATTCGCTCAATATGGAGTTGCATGTTGAAAGATAGCTGTAGCATCACCCATATCCCTATGAACTCACTCTTTACCTGGATCTGGGAGAGCTGCATGACAATTCTGACTATTAGGACAATTAAAACACACATGCATGCACAAAACACTTGCACAGGTGTACCTACATAATGCAAACAGGTGTAAGCTTTTATAAACTAAAAGCCTTTCTAGCAGTAAAAGTGTGATTATTACTAAAAACTAACACTTTTTTTTACACTTTAATCCCCCCTGTTTAGCATTTATGAGCAGCACAAATAAGTGGTTTATAACGCATGATAATGTAGTTGTAACCAAGTTACTGTGCTCAGTGACGTTTTACAAATGGGGCCATTGCTATGCAGGCAATTTAGCCCCCACCAGGGTCTTAATGCTGCTACCATTCATCACTAGCAGTATATAAAGGAGATATATTGCTGCATTAAGAGTCTTGATTACAGCCCAGTACTAACAGTAAAAAATGGCTCTCGAGGAGAACAGAGTAAACACTGTGTGATCTGAGACAAAGGAAAGAGATCAGGGTGAATAGTTAATAAAACAAGGCTAATGCTAATTCTATTCTGTTCTATTCCACAATATAACTGCATCCATGCCAAGTTAGCAGCTGGGACCTTTCAAGACAGGCAGATCATGCTGAGCAGTAACCGCCAACAGGTGAATTCAAACAGGAAAATAAAAGAAAGTTTAAAGGTAGAGCAAATGTAACATGGAAAAATGAACTACAACCCTGTATTTAACATATTTTCCATTCCTACTTAAAGTAAACCTCTTTAAACAGGTGAGACAAGGTGTCTGATATGAAGTGATCTTACCTTCATGAGTTTGTGTTGATGCTGTTTGTAGCCTCCACGTTAAGGTCACGCACAGCAGAGCGACTCGCCAGTGGTTCATGTTGATATTTATTGAGATAGTATCATATCATACAAGTGTAGATAATCCGGTGTAGGAAAGTATCGATGTGTATATAAAAAAGAAAACATATATATCAAGCCAAAAATGAATCAGGTTCCACGCACCGTCTCTGTACGATGAGAGAGGGAAAATAATCCAATGTCATGAAGTCAAAGTGAAGGAGAAAAGAAACTCCTTCTTTAAAACTTCGCTCAAAACATTAGTAATAAGAGCAGATAAATCGCGCCAATTGCAAAACTGGAAAAGACGAACAAGCGGCAGTTTATTTTGATGCTGGGTTTTCCCCCCGCAGAGGGGGACATGTGATTGGCCAGGAGCCCGATTTATTCACCAATCAGACGTTGGTCCGTCATTTTTTTTTTCTTTTTTTTTTTTTTTTTTTTACAAGCTGCAGCCTCAGTTGTTGACACTGAGCCTGCAAGACGATAAAACTGTGGAACTTCATGTGGGACAGAGAGTAAGAGATAAGAATTGTTTTTAATTTCTCTAAGTAAACATATTAGATCTACACATTTGAATGAATGAATGAATCGTCAGACTGGTACTTCTACCTTCAATAGTTCAGGTTGACTGATTTTGTGTGAGCATAATATTGGCACTGGACAAGTTAACACCAGTGATCAAAACAGAAATATATGCAGCAAACAAATGCTCATAATCTAGGCCTAAACCTTCTGCATGTGCACCAGTGTGAACACCATGTTCCCTATATGTCTGTCTTTATGTGCAGTTATTTTGGTTTCATGTTGTCAGCTGCTGCATGTGGAAGCAGCGGCTGAGTGGCTGCACTGTTTCCCCCCGTAAAGAGCAGTATTGTCCCCACTGCCCTGTCAACTGGTTAATCACCTCTTTGATGCGTATGTAGCAGCTCGTCACAATGGGCACATTGTCAGATGGTCAAGTGACTTCTGAACCCAAAACAAGAACATGTTTAATTTTGAGAAAATGTCCCTCGGAGCAGTCAAGATTCCTGAACATGAAGCTGTGAGTGAAAAGCGGGACGACTCACTAATGGATGGATATCTGTAACAGCTTCTGACAGATGCACTGTTAATCTGATTTCTGAAGGAGAGAGAGAAAGAGAGATGAACAGTTGCTGTTTGTTACTATTCTTATGTGGAAACCATGCAAACATCATTATGATCAATCTTCAGTGGAAATTTGATTCCAATGTTGATTTCTCAATCTATCTGATGTGTTCACAAATAAAAGTCACCAAATAGAAGAATACAAAACGTTAAAGAAAAAGCCTTTTTTTGTTTTGTTTTTTAAATTGCAACCTGTTTTACCTACAAATTAATTTTTGTATTATTTGTGCATCAGCCTGTACAAGCTGAACTCATTACCGGCCTCCCTCAGTCGTTCTCTGTCCAGCAGGAGGAGACAGAGTCTGAGTATTGGTGCTCTGATAACAGAGCTGCTGCTGCTGCTGCTGCAGGGCCTCAGTCAGTGTTTACACCTACATGTCTGTTTTTACATTGTCATTATTCTTTGACCCTTACGTTTTGGTGCAATCTGTACTAATAAAATGATCGGCTGCCATTCATCCTCTTGCCTATTGAATGGTGGAAAACTTTGCAGGACGTCATTACTCAGTAAGTTGGAAGAAGTTTTCACAACCTGAGTCAGTGAGGGTTTTTTTTTTTTTTTTTTTCTCTTGCTCATTAAAACTGTGAAAAGTGGAAAATATCAGTGGGAATGAAACTAGAGTGATATCAAACAAATATGAGGGGTTTTTTTTGTGGTTATTTTTCACATTCCCAGGAGGGTTTGATGGTTGTCATAAAGGCCTGATGATCCCGCGGTTTCTGCAGAGTTTGGCACTTTCACAACGCCACCATGGTGTTAGCCTCGGCGTCAGCCCTGGTGGCCCTGTCCCTTCCAAGGCGAGCTGTGGGGGTGACTGCTGTGGCCTTTTGCAGTTGCCACTCCCTTCAGAGATTGATGAATTGATTGTGGGGCTGCTGCCAGTGTGTCTGTGCCCTGGGTGAAGGTGTCCCGGTTACGGGTGGGAATCCCAGCTATGGCATCCGCCCTGGGGCTACTATTGTAGCCATCCTGCAGGGGGCCCCGGGGGCTGGTGGCCCCGGGAGCAGCTCTGACCCACATACTGCTGTCACACCCCTGGAGACACAGCGGCACTCTCCCCTACATGGACCTCTGATTGGCTCTGATAAAATGACTCTCTGTGAAGTGCAGCTATTCCACAGGGAAACTACCTGATTGTGCCAGACTTCTCTTGATGACAGCAGTTAGGAAAGGCCAAAAGAGAAAGGCGACATACATCCATGTCGTTCCCACCTATTTGACCTGCTCTTTCCCTACCAATGTCCGCCACTATGTTTTCAATAATCAAGCTTGTAATGTGTGCTGTTAATCAATCTGGCTTAGTCTTGGCTGGAAACTCATATGATGAAAGTTTAAAGTCTTCCCTCCACTCAAAGAAGCGTCTTTATTATTCTTTCTTCATTTGAATGTTTGACCTTCACTGTGGAGCATTATGTATGTGCACGGTTTGATACTAAAAGGTTGTTTTCACATTCATCTGTTTAAGTGGAAGAGTTTCCCTAAATCTCAGGGGTGTACGCATTATTTTGTGGCATCACAACTAGTTCAAAAGCTAGTTGTGCTCCAATATATGTAAAATTATACAAGCGTGATGCGAAAACATCTTGTCTTATGACATGAACAATATTTGCATACGTAGACGTTAGATTATTAAATGATGGACAAGAGGTAGATATAGATCTTAGAATTTCCAACTAGTCAATTTATATTTTTTATCACAAATTATTATTCAGAGTATTTTTATATTTTGTGTCACATTTCAAAAAGGCTGTGATCTAAACAAATATACAGATAATCAAGCACAATCATTGGCCACTGCATAAGGCCTTCATTGAGTCAAATCATAACCTAAGGGTGCAATGGTGAATGATGACAAGGAAGAAGTTGATTTTTGTTTTTTTTTTCTTTTATTGACCGATCGATGTAGTGCCAGGAATCATCAAATCACTCAACACTTTTGCACCAGTTTGTGTTGCTTTAATATCCTCCACTTAATAAATCCATTGTTCCTTTTTGAAAACACATTAACAGCTGGAATGTTGTGCAGTCTTGCTTTTCTGCCAATAGTCACTGAAAGAGGGATGTTTAGCCACAACAGTACTGCGAGCGCATCAGAGTTGTTACAGATCATAGGTGAGATACTTGAATGTTGGACATTCCTACATACAAACCTGTTATCAAAGAGAAATTAACCACTGGCAATATAAGGCCACAAAAACAATTTTCACACCAAACTGAACGTAATAGAGGGCACGTCACACACACAAGCTGCTGTCAGTTATACACGTCTGCCAACACACTGAACCCAATATCTACAGGTGTATCAACAACACTTTCAATTTGACCGCGAATACCATGATATACTTTTCTTGTTACATAAACATATATACAGTTGCGCTGACATAGAAAAGCATGCTTTTGCATATTAGAAGGTTGTTCGGTAAACTTTACACTAAATCCATAACATTTATCAGTACAGCATTGTTCCAACCAGCAGCAGTAATTTAGACTAACAAATTTAGTCTGAGGAAACAGGCTATTATAATTCACTTTTATTACAGATCTTGTACAATATTAACATGCCTTATGATGCAGTATTACTATCATCCTCTCTCCTATTATTTTCAAATTATGTGATTTGTGAACACTCAAAAAGACAACAGTCTGATCTAGTTAGCAAATTAAGAAAAAAAACAACACTAAAATCAACACTTTCCCTTTGATCCAAAATAAATAAAATACTCCATTTGAAAATACGAGAAAAAAAAAAACCAGACATTACATTCTGTACAACAATAATGCATCTAGAGTTATTTTGTGCAACGTGGAACACAGAAATACGGTCAACACAAGAAACACATTTATAATGTCACGCCAATAAGGGATGAATAAATCAGGATGACAAGCAATGTGAGCTCTTTTGATAGATGTAGTGAAGCTGCTCGCACAAACTGACTTAAAAAATAAACATTCAAAACCATGTAAGCTCTCTAATATTTCCAATCACATGCTCTGCTGCATCGCTCTGCCGCATCACTCTGCCGATCACTCACAGGCCAATAGCATCATTTTTTTTCCCCCCAAGCCACAGAGCTGGCACAGTGTGCCTGCTCTGTCATCTGTATCAGTTCGGCTATCACACCTCACTGAAGCCAGACAAACTGTTTTAACCCTCACCGAGCCAGGCAAGTAGACTAAGAACAAATCTTTATTTACAGCAGCGGCCTGCAGTAGTTCACAGCTCTTACAAGCCCATGAGCCAGTATTGGGATATCTCCATGCAGACTGGGAAGCAGTAATATACAGTGATATGGAGGCTTCTTTTTCACCAGCTGCCTTAGCAGTAAATGCACATTGCAATAAGGGGAGAGAAAGAATACGCTGCACTTAGAAAATAAAATCAATAAATGAACTTATGAATAAATAAATACATGTTGACAAAAATATAAATTGTTTAAGACTCTCCAGTATGTCAGCAGATTTTGAGTTAGAGAAAATAAATAAAATAATGCATTTAAATAAAATCTGAACAAACTAGTTTTTAATAAAATAAATGAAGCTCTGAAGTGCATAATTTGGTAGTGGTAAAACATCTGCATGGACAGGAAATGACAACTTGACATTTATCTGAGCATGTATGAGTGATAGTATGCTGAGATAATAATAGTATTCCCACTATACTATTATGACATTCTTTATAATTTACATCAAGTATCTGAGAGAGGGTTGCTCTGCCATCATGAGTCTAGATTCATCACATTTTCTGAACAAATTAAAAGGTGACAGAGGTTAAAGGTCATAGACTGCAAAGAGGGGGAAATACATACGCCTTCACAGTGACATTATACTATTACGTCCCAATATTTATGTATTTAGCTTATAGAATGTAAGTCATTTTGGTCAACTTTGACGCCATTGGTTTTCTAAATGATTAAAAACTCTCACCGCAGATCCAAACAAATTAAATTGATCAAAGTAAAGAAAATCAAATAAAATAGAATAGAAGTATTTGGGGGGGGAGAAAGCCATTGAGAGTCACCCCCTGGGAGCTTTTCAGCACTGCCTCTCCGTGTAAACACAATGGATCCACTATAACCACTACCTGGAGCTGGCACCCAGGCTCTTCCCCGCTCTACTGACCGGACCCTTCACTTTTTGTTCTTCAGCTGATTGGCCAGCCAGTCCAGGCCCTCGTAGAGACCGTCGCCGCTGGTGGCACAGGTGGCCTGAATGTACCAGTTACGGTGGCGTAGGGAGTGCAGGCCAAGCTTGTCTGTGATCTCTGCAGCGTTCATGGCATTGGGCAGGTCCTGGACACAATCACGTGGTAAAGTATGTCAATCAGAAGGCTTCAGTTGGTGAAGAAACAGGCAGACATGCAAGGAAAGCCCATACCTGTTTGTTGGCAAAGACGAGAAGAACGGCATCCCGCAGCTCGTCCTCAGCCAGCATCCTCATCAGTTCCTCCCGGGCTTCGTTCACCCGCTCCCGGTCGTTGCTGTCCACCACAAAGATCAAGCCTGAGAGGAGAGATGAGAGCTTGAGAGCTTTTCAAGGATTACAAAACAAAACCATCAGCTCTGCTATGCCCGAATCAATTCCATCCTACTTTGTAACAATATGCTGACATCATATTGTTAAAAAAAAACAAAACATATTGCTCAATCAAGCTTTTTGATTGTTGAGGCTTTCAACATGACTAAAATGATAATAATTTGAAACAGTTGGAGGCTGTATGCAAATGACATTATGCAAAGCATTAGTCAAATGTGCCCTCAGGTGCTGGGGGTGAGTGTGTGTTGCAGGATCTGCCACAGGACTAGATAGGTCTTGTTTACTTCATCATGGCAGACTACCGCATCATCTAAAAGGCTGCTGGACTGGCTCACCCTGGGTGTTCTGAAAGTAGTGCCTCCACAGGGGACGGATCTTGTCCTGGCCACCCACGTCCCACACTGTGAAGCTGATGTTCTTGTACTCCACTGTCTCTACGTTGAAACCTGAATAACAAGTGTATTAAAATTAAAATGAGTTACATAAGCTGGTTAAACTCAGACACATATGTTTTATATAATGCTATCAATAATGAATTCTTTCTTTACACACCGATGGTGGGGATTGTGGTGACGATCTCCCCCAGCTTCAGCTTGTAAAGGATGGTGGTTTTCCCAGCGGCGTCCAGCCCCACCATGAGAATCCTCATCTCCTTCTTGCCTATGAGGCTCTTCAACAGGTTCCCGAAGATGTTCCCCATGATGACGGGCGGCTCTCAGCTCAACTGCAACAGAACTGTCACACAGAGAGTTGAAAAAGACCACTTACTATATATAGCAACAAAGCAGCCAAAATAAACCACAATTAGAAAGTCAAAACCACAAAAAAGAAAAAAAAAAAAAAAAAAAAAAAAAAAAAAAGGAAAAAAATCCCATAGTGAGACACAGTAGCTCTTCAAAATCAACTCTCAACATTACCACCTCATTACAGCTGAAAGCCACCTCAGAGGAAAAGCCAATAAAGGCATACTTCACACCTCGGCAGGCAGCTGACCTGACTTAAAGACTGTTGCTTTACACTTTGACAGCTCACTGGTGAAACCAGCCGCCATACTGGATCTCTGTAATGTGGATCAGCTTTCAAGTGGTGCAGAGTAACCACCTTTTTATGCTGTTTGCTGGCAATTGCAAATATAGCAGTGTAACTATCAGTTCATATTATATTACATGACACATAACCTTAGCTTGTGTGAATGTCTTGTGCACACAACCTAAAGCACCGATGTGGGATTTTACTTTTCTGTGCTCCTTCACGGTGTGGGCTCTTTAACAGGCCAACTCTGCAGTCAACTTGTGCTAGCCTGCTCCACCTGAGGTGCATTTGATAATAACAAGGATAGTCCAAAATTAGCAAAGACAAAAAAGCATCCACAGCCTATTGTGCGGCAGACGGAGCATCCATCTTTCTCTGGGTACCCTTCTTTTTTTTATGATTAACCATCTCCGTGACTGTAACCCACTGACAAGCTCCATGTCCATTCATTTATATCAAATACACAGGGTACAGCTGCTAGCATAGCCTGTTACAGCTGCAGTGGCCGCACATCCATGTACATCTGTCATAATGCGAAGGGAAGACGGCTGCTGCTGTTGCTGCAGTCCAAACAGGCGTTGAATGTGAATGAGCCGAGTTACGTATTTATGGCTTCATAAAATAATTATTTGAGCGTAGTAAGCTAGCAACAATATTAGCTAATGTCTTCAGTATTCAAGGGAAGAAAAAAATCTCCGGGTCAATTTGTGTGCTGTAATCCGCTCGTACAGTCACGACAACACCAGCACTAGTCGGCCCGATGTCGTCGAGTCACGGCCGTTCATTCAAACTATACAAGATGTTCAAACTGACAAGCACGCTGCGCTCACCCTTTAATATACACGAATACATCTTTGAACATTTTCTGCATTTGCATCTCATTCACACTTACCCGTCAACGGCAGGCAGGCTACCAGCTGGATTCAGGCAAAGGACTGGATGACAGTCTCGCGATGAACTCCGACTCTGACACTGTGTATTCTCGCGGTAGTTGGATTGTCAAGAACACCTCTCACATTTGTCATCCCGGATGACTTGTTGGAAGCCAAGAGCACTGCTGCAGGGCAACTCTAATTTAATTGTCTCTTTATAAAACATGAAAATTATTACTTTAACATCCCCTTCAATCTGCTTTGACACTTAACCTGCTGTAGTGATGCTCAAATGCAGTCGACAGCATTTAAGACAAGATTCCCACACAGAATCCTTTTTAACAAACACACATTGCAAGTGTTATTTGTATGCAGTTACAGGGGCCCAACAACTAAACCAATATGAAATGTAACAGAATCTGCAGGCAAACATGCCTGAATAATTAAAACCGGAATCATCTTAATGAATAAATAAATGGCTGACTGTAACAGGATGCCAAGTGATACTTCCCGGCAGCAGCCCCTCTGTGTGTCACAGATAATGAGGTGACAGGAGGCAACAAAACATAGACGGAATCAATATTCCAGCAGGTTACTAATCTTGGGTACTGATTTTCTTAGATAGCACGTATTTCAAAAGATGATACCGTACATTTATGTGGTTTTACAGGTGACAATACATAAGAATTAGGAGGGAACTTCACCTTCCTCCATGGTGTGGGTTTTTACCCATCAACCATCAGAAAAACAACCCGTTGTTATTAAATGACACACCCATGACCAGCCCCACGATCATAGGTGAATCCTACATGTCTCCCTCTTATTCTCTATTGCGTGTCAGTTAGTGGTCCGGTAATAGATGTGTTTATCAATTCAGTGGTGAAGGCAGAGGAATAAAGAGGGGAGCAGATGTTTGCAGCTGCAGACCAGATTATGGGGTGGAGTGCATGGTGGGGGAGCCTGCCGAGTTTGTGTGCACGGGGAGTTTTGAGAGGGTTACAGCGGGCTCGGGTGGTGGCAGGAGAGGTGGGGTGGGGAGTTATGACTTAAAGGAGCCTTTCCTCTGAAGTGTCTGCCAGCGTGCACCCCAGCAAACACAATCACAAGTCTCGTTGGTTCTGCTAGCTGAACTAATGAGGGCCTGCGCGTCGAGGGCAGGGGCTTTGATGTTCTGGGTAGCTGGCTCCTTGTGTTTTCTCTCCCGCTCTCCTTCTCTGCCTGTCCCACATCAAAAATGAAAGGGGAGTTGAGAAGCAGATGTTTTGAGGCATGTATTTATACAGAGTACACTTTATTCACCCCCTTCTCCATACCCCATTTGTCCTTTGCTCCTGCATCCCTGCTATACGTACAGCAAGGATCTATCTCTCTATCTTTATATCCAACTAAACGCACTAAATCGCCTTACTTTATACATATAATCATCCTGTCAATCAAAGTGGGTAACTTTTATCTCTCCTAACTTCCTCTCTCTGCCTCCCTCTCTTTAATTTCAGCCCTGTCTGGTTGTCATTACTCGGGGGGGGCAGTCAATGTGTTGCTATGCATGTGTCTCTGTCTGCAACGATGAGGGGGAGAATGGGAAAGAGAGAAAAAGAGTGAAGAGAGGGAGAGAAAGCAATCCCAGGCTGTCCACCAACCTCTGTCTCACACATGGGAGAAACAGTGACAGGAAATTCCCTTTTGCAGCAGCTCCAGGGTGAAATGATAAAGGAATAAAGAAATGCAAACCAGAAATCCAGTCCCTTATCATTCCCTACCCGTCGCTATCTCCTCTTTATTCCTGCACTAAATACCAAACAGACAGAACAGTTAATTCAGCCACTGGCAGTACCATTCCTCAGGAGTCAAGGGATATTTACCCAAGTCCATACAAACAAGACTTAATTGGTATTAAATCCTATATAGCAGGAGAGGTTCTCCCAGTAGACCGTGCATGGAGACAGTTTGGATCATATCTAGGAATGCTGCTATCATAAATCCAGTCAGGTGCTGACATTAGCACTTTGCTAAATCTGCAGTATAACTAGAATGAGAGTGCAAATCATTCAGGTCACCAGGAGTTCTGACAGCTCATGTGTGCACACCACCATGCATGTTTTTGATTGTGCATCAGTGCCAGTATTTCTACATGTAAGTGTCTTTGTACATAAAACCATGCATGTGTTTGTGTTTGTGTAGTCTGTCTCCCAGGTAACAGGGACACAGCGTCCCAGCAGCACGTGGTTCAGCGAGTCCCTTCCTTGGCTATGAACTCTGGACAGATGATCCCCTCAGATGCTCGCACAGCAAAGACTGGTATAATCACCCCCACTCTTTGCTCTCTTGATGCTTCTCTCCAGTAATAAAAGTCATACTTTAAGGAAACAATATCCTGCGGCCATAAAAAGTCCTTCTCTCAGCATGAAGTGGCCATAAAAAAGGCTCTCACCTCCCAAATCTGTAGTGCGTAGAGCTTACCCCCCATTTACACAGCAACAGACACACACACTCAAACATACACACACCCTTCAGTATCGGTTCAAGACTAAAGCAGGTCCATCTCTCACTTTGACATGTACTACATGTGGGAAGAATCTAAGGAGAGCTCAGACTGATGAAAAAGACAAAAGCAAGTAGAGAATAATAAGGTCTGAGTCATGATTTCATAGGAAAATGACACACATCACATCACAGTTATACCAGGAGGAAGCATAATTCTGTCATAATATTGACATGAATTCATGAAAAACAGGACCACTAGTCACCACTCTCATGAAGTTATTACTATTGTTACAATGGTATAAATAAATTTAAATGATTAGTTATTCACCGTAAGGGATTAAAGGACTGAGTCTGTGAATCTGTCTCTTGCCAATCTTTAGTTTTACAAGTGTACATGCTTTGATAAGCTTATAAAAGTCCTGTGCTTTCTGCCTTTTTGCTTCTGTGACAAAAATTTCAAACACTATAAAAAAACAGTCCTCTATCTTGTCTTCTTCTATTCATTTTTTGAGACTGACTCCCAAATAAGTATCATTGCTCTGTCTGAGTCACAGGTGCAAAATACTGTACAGTGACATGTAAGATAAACTGCAATGAGACTTTGTTGTCTGACAGCACTGGTTCACCATCCTGAGCCGCTCGGCCAGCATCAGTCTGTCATTAACTAGAACCAAAAAGACAGGTGCCAACACAATAATAATATTAATAATAATACATTTACAAATATACAAGTACACATTAAAATACACAGCTACTGTACAACGAGATGAGTCAGCATGTAGACAATGAAATAGCAAGTTTTTTTGCTGTTGCTCGCCTTTGTTTTGTGGGATAGAAAAGACGGGGTATGGGCCGTTTTCATGGCTGAGAGGGCAGCGTCTAAACAGACCATGGCAAGACAAATGACATGAGTCACCTCTTCAATCTCTGACTTGGCATTTGAGAATAACAGCGGCTACAAAGAGAAAATGGATCCCAGATGATGGACCAAAAAAAGGATAAGGGGGGGGAGTAAACAGATTCTCTGGGAGAGTTACACAAAGAGCAAAACAAACACTCAAACAACAGGAGTGGGCGAAGGGACAGGCTTGCCATCTTGAGTCCTGAACGGGTAAAGGCAGCTGGGAGTGGGAGAACTGGAATCTACTTGCACACATTGACCCACTCTGTGAGACGACACTCCTCGCAAAGCACGTAGCAACACCAGTGAAATCGGCAATTGCAGCGCTCGCTGCGTGTCTGTTTCAGAATGTTGTGTCCACGGCCGCAGCACAGTGAGCTACAGCTGTCTGTGCTGTAGCTGGTTTTGTTGCAGATGCGTCCTTGTGTACCTGGAGAGTCTAAAGAGGCGTCACGCTCACAGAAATCAGGAGACTTCTCAAAGTATACCAGCTCTCTGGACATGCTGCGACGACGACCTCCGTTGAGCCCTGCTGTGCTCCCGCTGGCGCCGTTTCCCGTTCGAGGGTTGAAAACCCCGTTGTTCTTGTTCTGGGAGTTAACAAAAATGGCTGACAGGAACTTTTCCTTAAGTAGAGAACCCACAAGTCGGAACTCTGGAGACACATGCCAGCAGGTCTTGAACTGACAGCTCCCTGATGTGCCATGACATTTGCACTTCCTCTTCATGTTGTCAGTCACTGTCTGTATAGAGAAAGGTAAATTATGTAAGCAAAAAAGAAATGCACTGATGACTCTGATGATGACATATGCCATGCAAGACTGCTAGACTCTGAAGAACACTAAGAACATGGTAGAAAAGAACATTATTCACCTGTCGTCCCACCCGGTTGTTATGTATCCTCATGCGAGCGTGGATATCTCTTGGAGACCCGCTGGAGTCGAGCCAGTCCCTGGAGAAACGTTCCCCAAAGCGGACGTCGTGACTGCAGCCCCCCCACTCCCAGGTCTCCTGCATGGAACTCAGCTCATCTGGTAAAGGCTTGAGCAGGGCAGAGGGGTGGGTGGAGCGCAGGTTAGTGGGCAGGTCACCATGGCGACCATTTAACTCCAAGGATAATGACCGTGTCATGCCGATGCCTACCCCACCCTTCTGCAGGGTCTGCAGCTGCAGCTGTGTGAGTTTCAGCCGGATCTTGTCATCGTCCTGCCGACGCTTGGCCTCGCAGCCACACCCCCGCAGCTTGCCCATGCTGCAGGCCGAGGCCACAGAGTGAGCCACACCCGCTGCCAATAAGGCCAGGGAGAAGGCGCTCTCGCGGAAACCTGGGAACAGGAGATAAACCCAAAGAGTTGGAGAGTAGCCCCCAAAAAATGTCCTGCGTCTGTGAGCAGAACAATCTCTACTCTTATACCTACACCGTTCCCCCATCAACACCAGGTCACATTTTGACCATCATTAGCTTGCCTCAGACTCTCACCCCTGTTGAGGATGGTGTTGTGGTGGGGCAGCTTGCCAAGGGCCTCCAATGAGGAGCAGTTCCAGCGCTGGTCTCGGAACTGGTGCTGGCATTCATGGATGGCCACCTGGATGCCCTGCAGAGCCGAGGCTGTCACATCGGGGCTCCGCACACACATCCGCATCTGACGCTTGCTGAGGCCTGCCAGCCTCAGGCACACCGAGTTAGGGGTTAGCACTGGATCTCCTGCCACCTTCAGGCTGAGGATATCATTACACAGCACCCTGCAGAGAGAGAGAGGGGGGCACCCCTTCCCCCACCCCCACACTAACCCCCCCCCCCTCTCTCTCTCTGCAGGGTGCTGTGTAATGATATCTCAGCCTGAAGGTGGCAGGAGATCCAGTGCTAACCCCTAACTCGGTGTGCCTGAGGCTGGCAGGCCTCAGCAAGCGTCAGATGCGGATGTGTGTGCGGAGCCCCGATGTGACAGCCTCGGCCATAACCACCAACGGCGCGCTGAAGATCAATAATTACATAACCGACCATCGCGCCACTTAAATATCCAGCCTACACTAACCATCTCACCATTCGCTCTACCTTCGCGTTTTTTATGCAAAAAAGCCTTGGCCCCAGATTTATGCTCGCTAAGAGTATCAAAAGCACTCCGCTCTGCCTAAATATAACACTAGTACAACTTTCTCCTTACTCCTGATATCTTTGGCAAATTGCTTCAGTTGCCAGGGCGAGGGGAAATTGAAAAGACAATAGTGTTGAGGTACGCTCTAAAGTCAGCAGGACCTCCTAAAGCTCACCCTCGTGCCACAGCAGGAAAGGCCCAGCTGCGAGAAAAGCTGAGATAAGGATGAACGCCACTATGGTACCTACTGTAACCAGCCCTAACCATGGACTTAGCTCCACGTTTCAGCTTTTGTATGCGTGTATGGCGTGTGTGGAAAGGTGCATGGATGCACCCAGGTGCCAATCCCACCTGCAATGAGACAAACCCGCCCAAAGCTGATCACAGGGATTTTCTTACAGTATCAGGAGGAAGTGCAAATAATACAAACCATTACTGCGCAAGTCTGTTCCTTTTATGTATAGCACACAATCTGGATCCACCACTTACACAATTCATCACATGAAGCTCATAGAGGAGTCGTGTGCTGTGTCACTGCTTGTTTTGCTTTCCAATTAAACAGCACTGAAAGCAGCATGACCATACATCCACTTTCAACAGATAAGCCATGCACTACACACTTTTGTGGCGAAAAATAAGCAACATATCTGTAGAAAAATTACAGCTAAAAAACAAACAACCTCTCATGAATGAATTTCATCGCTTGCTCTCACAATTGTCGGGTCTACTGAATGGTTTTCAGCATTCAGTTCATTAAAAACCATATTGCCTCAACAGATGGCACAGTTGTTGGTGCACATCATAATCATGCAATTTAAATAACTCATACACGTTTTGGCAAGGACACACAGAGCCAAATATGTGCCAAAAGCTGGAATATTTACACACACCAGGGGAAAGGCAATTGTTCAAAAAAAAAAAAAAAGATATGCTCCATATATACAACATATTCATAATTACATTGAAAATGCATCTCTAGGCTGTCTTTCTGCCTCTCATTCGCGCTTCTCTCTCTTCTCCTTGCTCCTCTCATGTAGGGAGGCAGACGCTTTGGCACCCACGGCCCATGCCACATCAATATGCGTACTGGTGAAACGCTTCCCCTGCTTCCCCCGTTTGCCTG